AACATGCAGAGGAACAACACCCTGGGCATCGGTACTGCCAAGAAGAAGAAGAAAATCCTTATGAGGGTAGAGTGTTACTTGTTTATTGAACATCAGACCCAATCATCTGGGACCATTGCATGGTCTATATCACCATAAATGATCTTAGGCTATTTGGATTGGGGACAACATAAGGCATCAAATAAATGAAGTACAAGGGTCTACCCAGCACCTCCTGGTGGCCACACCCAGTGCTAGGAACTGAGTCGACAACACCAGGAAAAAGTCAGGGTCCATAGACGGACACAGATGTGTTAACAAACACAGTGAGATCTAAATTAGTCATTGTTAAGCTGCCTGCAAAGTGCTTTAGGAGTGGAGAGAAGGAGGATATAGGGCTGAGAGGCAGGCAGGAAAGACTTCACAGAGCAATTGACATATGGGTCTTGAAGGTTGTATAGGAGTTTACCAAACAGACAACACAGGGAAAAGCATCCCAGGCAGATGAGGCAACAGAGAGGCATGAAAGATGTGGCTTGTTCAGGGAAGCACATGTGGTTCTGAGTTCATGCTCCAAGCTGGAGCAGGGGCTCTGTGCTGGGCGAGGAAGGGCGAGGAAGGAACGGGGATCAGATTATGAAGATCTCAGAGGATCTTCTAAATGTGTTATGAGAACCAACCTAAATGTTCATCCACAAATGAAGGATGAAGAAAAAGGTGATGTAGGCATACAATGAAATATAATTCAACTTTGAAACAGGAAGAAAATTCTTTCCTATGCGACAACATGGGTGCACCTTGAGGACATTACCCTAAGTGAAAGAAGCCAGTCACGAAAGGACGAATAGTGTGTGGTGCCACTTACATGAGGTACCAAGGACGGTCCAGCTCTTAGAGACAGAAAGTAGAATGGTGGTGGCCAGGAGCTGGGGGGGAGGGGGAGTTGTTTAATGGATATAGAGTTTCAGTTTTACAAGGTGAGAAAGTTCTAGGGATTGTTGCACAACAAGGCACATATAGTTCCCACACTTAAAATGGGTAAGGTGAATTTTATGTTATGCTTTTTATCACAATATATTTATTATTATTTATTACATATTTCATTATATACATTATCACTATAACATGATGATATATTTTCCCCAGGGTTGCAGATAGGAGGCTATTGCTGCCTAAGTGGAACTTTATCTGCTTTATGATTCTGTCTCTACGTGGAGATTCCAGGGATCACGTGCCTCCTTTTATGGGCCCCCTCCCCTGAGGAGTGCTGCTGTATAGTGAAGGACAAATGGGATAATATTCCATGTGAATACTTGGTCAGCCTTCACGTGGGTCTTTACTGGCTTCCCCAGGGGGGAAGCAGCCTTGAAGGTGGGTCCCTCAGAAAATAGGGACCTGCCCAGACTAAAGCAGTGATGGAAGAGAAACACAGAAGGGGAACCACTGTGCGTTTTGTGTCCCCAGGGTGAGAGTGGAGAGGCCACCGACGATGAGATGGCCACCCGAAAGGCCAAACTGCACAAAGAGTGTCGAAGCTGGAGTGGCTCTGATCCTCAGGACATTAACGAGCAAGAGGAGTCAGGTAAAGCAGCACAGTCCCAGCTGACAATTTTGTATGAGAAAAATACACATTGGGTTTAAATGGTAGTTTAAGTGTGGTGGGCATTCTTAGCAGAACTCTTTATCTTTGTACTTACCTTTGTTTTTACTAGATGATGGAACCCTAGAGGTATTTCTGCAAGCACTGTGTACTTGGAAGAAAATTCTCATCACTTACCTTGCCATTATTGATAGGGAGTATTAGCCATACAGGATACAATTTGATGGGCTAGACCAGTGATTCTCAACCCCAGCTGGAAAATAGAGCTTTTAAAAAATATATCTGGTCCAGCCGGGTGTGGCTCAGTGGTTGAGTGTTGACCCAGGAACCAAGACGTCACGGGTTTCGATTCCTGGTCAGGGCACATGCCCGGGTTGCGTACTTGATCCCCAGTAGGGGGCGTGCAGGCGACAGCCGATCGATGTTTCTCTTTCATCATTGATGTTTCTATTTCTCTCTCCCTCTCCCTTCCTATCTGAAATCAATAAAAATATATTATAAATAAATAAGTAAGTATCTTGATGCCCTGTCCACACTCCAGCCACTGATTCAGACGCTGTGGCTGGGACCTGAACAGCTGCATACTTTTTAAGCTCCCCCAGATGATTCTCATCTGTACCAGGGTTGAGAACCCTCCAGATGAGTTCATTCATCCGAATATTTTGATGCTCCTTGTGTAGAAATTGCCTGCATAGAGTATGATTTGCTCAGATATCCAGAAGCATCTTTGTTGTCTTTGATTCTGAGGGAAAGGTGGTCATTGTCTCTTTTGTCTCTCCCGCTCACAGAGGCGAATGCCATCACAAGCCCGCCTAACCCTCTCCCTTCCAGAAGAGCCCACTCTCTGACCACGGCTGGGTCCCCCATCTTGGCTGCCGGGACGTCATCTCCCATCAGGCCAGTGTCCTCCCCTGTGCTGTCTTCAAACAAGAGCCCGTCCAGGTGGGGCCTTAACATGATAAAACAGCAGGACCCTCACAGCAGTCAGGCTGTGTAGCAGGGCATCTTCCTCCAGTGTTCTGTGGAAAGACTGTCTCTAGTTTTGACTTAGCAATGACATTGAGAATGGAAAGACCCCGAGTTTTTACATGCCCCTAATTTTCCTGATTTTATAGCCCTATCTTCTCATAGTGCTATAATTGCTCCTAATTATTTGACACATCAGCCCCTCAAAGGGCAATAGCAGTAACAAAATCTGAGCTGTAATTCTCCAAATTAGCACTGTCCAATATAGTAGCCACTAGCCCGGGGTGGGGGGAGAGGGGAAGGCTATTTAAATTAATTAAAATTAAATAAAATTTAAAATTCTAAATACAGTAAAAAAATAAAAGTTTCATTTCTCAGTCACACTAACCACATTCAGAGTGCCTCAGAGCTGCAAGTGGTTGGTGGCTACTAGACTGAACCGTGCAGATACGGAATCTTTGTATCACTGCAGAGAGTTCTAGTGGATGGCACTGCTCTAAATGAAGAATAAATTAAGTTTTAAAGTAAGCTGCTTGACCCTTTGCTAATGGGTGAAATATAGTTAATACTCTTCTTATATATAATAAGCTCTACATGTCTAGAGAAATGAATGTATTACAGCAAGTCGGATACGTTTAGATCATTTCAAAGCTGGTGTTATAGTCAATTATTTTATAAGGTCCATGCAAATTACAGACTTGAAACAATATCTACCCTCTCAGATAATATTAAAAATGAAAGCCTTCCAAAGGAATCAGAAAGCCACACCATCACCCTCAACCTCACACTAAAGTTTAAGAAATGCAGAGATTTCAGACAGAACCAAGATAAAATAGACACTTTGCTTTATCCGAGAAGAGTGGGAGGAGGAAATGGGTCTGTGAGGTACCTAGAGCAGTCCAACATACACACACACACACATTACAGTAAATCATTTTTTAAAGGGAAGCATTCTTTCACAGTGTGAATAATGAACACAATATAAGCTTTATGCATTCAGATTTCTATACTTGGTGAAACTGGGCCAAGGGTACGTGGGAATTCTTTGTGTCACTCTTACAACTTTTCCATAAGTTTAGGTGTGTAACACATTTAAAAGCTACAAAGAATCAGAATTCTCTACATTATATTTCAGCCTATACAGCATCCTTGATGAACAAAATAGCCAAGTAACGGAGTAAATAGCCCTTCCCTTTATTTCAATCACTCATGAGCAGGGAAAGGAAGGGCAGAATAAGAGAGGAAAATATTTTTAAAGAGATAGAAGTAGAGAAACTAACATATCAGATGCAAGATCACAGATGGACCGGCACCACAGCCCACCAAGTGTTCTAAAACAGAAGGGAGAGACAAGGCAGAAGAAAAATCAGCCTGAATACTGTTCAAGGGGAGAACCAAAACTGAGCCCAGAAAGGGAAAGAGTAGACACATGGAGCTTCCTGAAGTCAGGGGCTGTCCTCAGACAGTGGCTAGACCTGGAACTAGAAGGAAGACAGAGACTTTCCTGCTTAAAGCAAGTGATAAACCACTTTATGGGATCTTCCTCTACCTGAACCTCCACCCTCTATTTCCCACACACGTGGATGATCAACAACCTTTTCCCTCAAAATAATACAAACCTAGCCTTTTGTAATACTCTTCCTTTAACCTTCAGACGTCAGCATAGAATCATTTTCCATGAGTAAGCATTGTTAGCAGGATTAAGGGTAAACAGTCTATTTATTACAATTGTCTCTGTACTTTCTTATATAAGTTGAAATATTTCTAAAGTGAAAAAGAAAGATCTTGTTCATTGATTTGGTTAACAACCAGTCAAAACATTTCTCATACTATCCCGTCAGGGAACCAGTATAGAACGTTTAAAAAAAAAATGTTGTGAAACAGCCAGACTGAAGTTTTGATCTAGTTGACTGATATTTTTATACTGAATAGATACAGCTTTGGCAGGTGCAAATATAATCCTAGACAGAGTTGGCTTCTTTCCATTCTTAATATTTTTCTGACTCACATTTTCCATTAGCATTAAAAGCCCTTCCCCGAATTCATCTAAGAACTGGTTTAAAAAGGACAAAAAGAAGATATTAAGACATTCAAGACATTCTTCCTAAATGGGTATCTGTAATTCAGAATATAGGGGGGAAACATGCATAATTTTCCATAGGTTATAATCCAGTAGTTTGGGGCTCTTTTTTTAAAAAAGACTTTTCTTCAAAGACACATTTACATTCCTCCCTCCCCACCCCCCACCCCCACTGGCCTGTGATTTCAAAGAACTGTTTTAATTAGTGGAAGCATATTAACCTCAGTCTTATGTCCTTATTAAATAGTCTGTAAACATGAAGCCGTTTCAATGTTCAATATGTTTGACCTCCTCTGACATAATACGGATTAATTTTGAGAGGAATGAAAATAGCCTCCACCTCAAATGACTCGCAGTCCATCTTTTTGGGCATATTGCTTAACGCGAGAGCATCCGTTGGGGCAGAAGGGCAGACAAGGGCCCGTCCTGCCGGTTAAGGCCATGTTTTTCTTGCAGTGCCTGGAGCAGCAGCAGCTGGCACGGCCGCATCAAAGGAGGAATGAAAGGCTTCCAGAGCTTCATGGTTTCCGACAGCAACATGAGTTTTGTTGAATTTGTGGAGCTGTTCAAATCCTTCAGGTATGGCACGCTTTCTTCTGACCCTTTCTCAGCCCCACATTTTAGCAGAAGTGCTACATGCGAGGCGTTTTCATTCCTCACACAGTGTAAGGAGCCGCAAGGACCTGAAGGATCTCTTCGACCTCTACGCCGTGCCCTGCAACCGGTCAGGCTCTGAGTCGGCCCCGCTCTACACCAACCTAACCATTGATGAGAACACCAGCGGTCTTCAGCCTGATCTAGGTTTGTGTAACAATTTAATCTTTCTCTCGGAGATCTTTCTATTGAATCACACACACCTACAGCCTGCCTCCCGTGGCGTGCTGCTACCTGGAGCATGGTGAAACATTGGGAGAATTTTTTTCAAGGTGTCATTGGCATTTGAGACGAGGAAATTCATCATTGTGTCCATGTATTTCATTTAACCAGTAGAGCCCTCCAGTCCTGCTGACCACCAGAACCCCTTTCCCACCCATTTCCACATGTCCCCTGGAGTGTGGTGTGTCCCAGTTGAGAACCACCGGTCTCTGCCCTGCCTTCAGGCGGATGGGTGCTCAGCCGCAGGGTGGGGGCTGTCTGCCCTTTAGCAACGAGAGTCTGTGGTGACCTCAGCAGAGCACTGCTGTCTGGACACCCAGGACATTTTCCCGAATATGTAAACCAGAACGTCTGGTTCTGTCCCACTCACCACCACCAGCACCAGCACCACCCATGCATTTTAAAGGCTTTTCTTTTGCTCTTCTGTTCTTGCTGGGAAATATAATCACAACAAAGCAAAAAGAAAAACAAAAATAGTCCTCTTTTATGCAGTTGCTTTTTAATTATTTAAAACCTATATTGTCCTTAGCTAAGAATATTAACCTTTTTCAACTTTAGTCATAAGATGTGCATAACTATGGGTTAGTGAATCAGTCACACTTTTTAAAAATTTAATGGGCTATTTTTTTTAAGAGCAGTTTTAGATTTACAGAAAAATGGGGGCAAAGAACAGAGAGTTCGCGTATTCTCTCCCCACATAGTTTCCCCTGTTATTAATATCTTGCATATGTGATACAGGGAACCAATATCGATATATTATTATTAACTGAAGTCCATAGTTTGCATTAGTGTTCACTGTTTGTGCTGTACATTCTATGGGCTTTGACATAAGTATAATGACATGAATTCACCATTACCATGTTATAGAGAATAGTTTCACTGCCCTAAAAATCCCTGCTCCATCTAGTCATGCCACCCACCTCCTTCTGACCCCTTGGCAACCACTGATTTTTTTTTATTTTTTTTTACGGTCTGCACAGTATTGCCTTTTCCATAATGTCATATATTTATGATCACGCAATACATAGCCTTTTCAGACAGGCTTCTTTCACTTAGCAATACACATGTAAGGCCCCTCCATGTCTTCTCATGGCTTCATAGCTCATTTCCTTTTATAGCTGAACTAGAGGCCCAATGCACGAAATTCATGCAAGAGTAGGTTTCCCGCTGGTACCGGGGACCCGGGCTTCCCTTGCAGCCCTGGCTTCGTCTGGAAGGACGTCCAGTCTAATTAGCATATTACGCTTTTATTATTATAGACTAGAGGCCCAATGCATGAAATTCGTGCAAGGGGCTCTGCCCTCGCAGCCGTGGCAGCTTACCTTGGCCCTCACAGCCCTGGCTTCATCCAGAAGATTGTCCGAAAGGACATACAGAAGGTCGTTTGGCTGTCTGATCTAATTAGCATATTATGCTTTTATTATCATAGATAATATTCCATTGTATGGATTTATCATAGTTTGCTTAGTCATTCACCTATGGAAGGATTCCTGGTTGCTTCCAAGTTTTAGCAATGATAAATAAAGCTGATGAAACACTGTGTATAAGTTTTAGTGTGCATGTGACTTTTCACCTCATGTGGGTAAACACCTCGGAACGCAATTGCTGGGTCGTAGGATGAGCCCATGGTTGACTCTGTGGGAACATGCCAGGCTGTCTTCCAAGTGGCCACAGTGAACATGTCTGGCCAAGGTGGTGTCAGTGTGGTGCCACTGCAGCCTTGCTGGTGGGGGTGTAAGATGGTACACTCCCACCAACTTCAGAAGGGAGTTGAGCAGCTTCTTACAAAACTAAACGTACTCTTACCATACCATCCAGCAATTGCATTTCTTGGCATTTACACAAATGAACTGAAAACCTATGTTTGTTCACACAGAAACCTGCACACAAATGTTTATAGTTACACTTTTACTTTTGTTAATCTTTATTGTTGAAAGTATTACTGATGCCTCCTTTTTCCCCCCTTTGGCCCCTTCTAGTCCACCCCTCGCCCCCACCCCTAGCTTTCACCATACTATTTCCTGTGCCCATGGGTTATGCCTACAAGTTCTTTGGTTAATATCCTCCCATCCACCCACCCTCCCCTGCCTTCCCTCTGAGATTCCACAGAGAATAGTTACATCTTTAAAGTACAGAAAAACTGTAATTTTAAAGGTTCATCTTCAGTCTCTGAAAATATAAAAATATAATAGTTATTCTAAAATCTAAAGTTCAAATTCAGCCTAAAATCCCCAATTGATGTACATTTAGCTCCCCTCAAATACCAAAGCTCATGGGCTTTCGAGGTCATCAATCTAGCTCTCTCTTAGTTTCTTTTACTTATTCATTGATTCCTTTTTTTATCCCTCTACTCTGCGAAGCCAGGAATATGCAATGAGTTTGCTGGCTTGTTTAGACAGAATGGTGAAGAATTTCTCCAGCTTAATAATGCCATAGCACAGGTATCTGCCAAATGAACTTTGTGAAAGATGCTGGCTAGTTTGTCCATGTTTTGTGGGTGATTCTGTTTCAGATTTGTTGACCAGAAATGTCTCAGATTTGGGGCTGTTCATTAAGAGTAAACAGCAGCTGTCAGACAACCAGAGGCAGATCTCTGACGCCATTGCTGCTGCAAGCATCGTGACGAATGGCACTGGGGTCGAGAGCACATCCCTGGGCGTGTTTGGGGTCGGCATACTTCAGCTCAATGACTTCCTAGTGAACTGCCAGGGAGAACACTGCACTTACGATGAAATCCTCAGCATCATCCAGGTATGCACCTGTTTCGTGTGCACACTCGTGTAAAGCCTCTGACTCTTCTAATTATTTTCTGCTAAACATTTATTCTTTCCATACTTCTTTCCAAAGACTCTTTAAATTTGGGGCAGAAATAGAAGGGGGTTGGGTTGTTTTTTTTTAAATACCAAATACATAAGTGTTCTTTTTTTAAAATATATTTTTATTGATTTCAGAGAGGAAGGGAGAGGGAGAGATAGAAATATCAATGATGAGAGAGAATCATCAATCAGCTGCCTCCTGCATGCCCCTTACTGGGGATCGAGCCCACAACCCAGGCACATGCCCTTGGCCGGAATCGAACCTGGGACCCTTCAGTCCATAGGTCGATGCTCTATCCACTGAACCAAACCAGCCAGGGCCATAAGTGTTCTTATTTAACATATAATTTAACACAGGTTCCAAGCCTTCTCTTACTCAGTGACTATTAAAAGGAATCAGTACACCATTCCTTCTTCTTCTTCTAGCACATGCAATAGAATTAGTAGTCTAGGTTTTCAACCTTTTTAGTCATTTAGCAAATATTTTTTATATTGCCGCTATGGGCCTGGGTCTGTTCCAGGACCTGGAAATATAGTAATACATAAGATCAAGATCTGGCCCTCCACACAGCTTACATTCAAGTGGGTGAGGCAGACAATAAATGAATAAAGGTACAGGGTGGAGCAAAAGTGGGTTTACGGTTGTTTATATGGAGAATAATGCAATAATTAATAAATAATAATACAGGAATAAACTCTGCTTTATGTAGCTACAACTGAAAGCCTATTTTGGCCCCACCCTGTATAATATAATTTCAAGTAATAATACTGGGTTCTGGAAAAGACTGAGCAGAGTAAGGGGATGGAGTGATGCAGGAAGGCTGAGAGGAATAAGCCAAGGCCACTCTGAGGAGGTTACACTTGGCTGAGCCCTGCATAAATAAGCTATTCAAGGTCTACGGAAAGGACATTCTAGACCAGTGGTTCCCAAACTTATTTGGCCACCGCCCCCTTTCCAGAAAAAATATTACTCAGCCCCTGGAAATTAATTTTTTTAAAATTTTAATAGCAGTTACTCATCGCCCCCAAATGCACCTGTGGCCATCACCGCCCCCCTGGATCGCTGCAGCGCCCACCGAGGGGCGGTAGTGCCCACTTTGGGAATCACTGTTCTAGACAGAAGCCTCAAGTTCAAAGACCAGAGCAGGTGCGAGCTCGACATTTATGAGAAACAATAGAAAAGCTGTGTCATGGGAACCGCATAAGCCAGAGGGACCACCGTAGACACGATTTCAGACAGGTAGGCAGGGGCCCAGCCATCTAGGCATTTAGGCCACGGTGAGGAGTTTGGCTTTAGTCCATGACAAATGGGAAGCTGCTGGAAATTTTTGAGCAGCGGAGTAATGAACATGACATGATTTCTGTTTGTAAGAGGTCACTCTGACTCCACTGGAGAATGAACTGTGCTGGGGAAGGAGTGGAAGCAGAGACCTAGCAGGAAGCTTTCATCAGTAACCAGGCAGCTGCAAGGACAGGGTGGTAGGGCACAGTGGAATGAGACCATTCATGGTGGCTGCATCACCTGCAACAGAATTTGTCAAAGTTTTCAATCTCCCTTTTCAACTGATTGGGAATCAGTGGATTAGCTCTCCAGCGACTGGATTTGGTCACTGGAAATGCTTAAAATGTCAGATGATTATCACATGCTGAGTGCTCACTGTAATATTATCGAGTGCAAGCACTGTACGAAGTGCTCTATGAGAAGCATCTAATTTACCTCTCACCAGCTCTATGATAGCTGCTATTTTTATCCCCATTTTCACCTGGATAAACTGATACCATTTGTTTTCATATAAATCAACCTTATTCTTTTCTCTTAAGTAAATATGCTTCGTATAATAAACTGACTTGTAATAAATGTTTTCTTTTTTAAAAAAAAAATCTACATCTTACCACTACATAGCTAAATTAGTTCAAATATTTGGTTTAGATGTTTCCTGATGAAAACAGAACAGTTTTAAAAAATGATGTGGTGTTTTCCCCCTTAGGTTCCTTTACCTAAATAACACTCTTTTTGTATTCCTTGCAGAAGTTTGAGCCTAGCATTAGTATGTGTCATCAGGGCCTAATGTCATTTGAAGGATTTGCAAGGTAACTTTTAAAATATCTTTTGCCCTATCATTTAAGAGTATATCTTTTTCCCATGCAATCCTAAGAAAATTTGTTTCCTCCTAGGTTTCTGATGGATAAAGACAACTTTGCTTCGGAAAACGATGAATCACAGGAGAACATTAAAGAATTACAGCTGCCCCTCTCCTACTATTACATTGAATCTTCACACAATACCTACCTCACAGGCCATCAGCTCAAAGGAGAATCCTCAGTAGAACTCTACAGCCAGGTACTGAGAAATCCCCTTGGAATGTGCTTGTCATTAAACCTTATTTATGTAACCCCCAAAGTCACAGAAACCTGACCCAGACTCCTGTGAAGAACTCAAACTACTGCATGTGAAATGTGAGGAAACATGACGTGTGGGAAAACAGCCTATACGTACAGTTGTTTTCTTTACTTCTTTTTTGTTTTGTTTTTCCTCGCTATCTATACTTAACCTTTATTCTGGGCAGTGAGAGAGAAAAAAAGTATTTGAGACTCATAGCTTTTAGATCCTACTTAGTCTGACCTACTCCTACTAAAATTAGATTTTCCCATGGGAAAGTTATCTAATTGTTTCCCTAAATGCTAAATAAATCAATATATTGTAGTGGGAAAGCATAGTAGAAAATGCAACTCTTTCTGAAGTTATTCCCAAGTATTAGTTGTTACGCTTTGCAATTTGTTAGACAATCAATTCATCCCTATGGTAACCAACTTAAGGGGGAGTGATCTGCCCAGACTGTAGGCACTGTTCCTATATATTTAATTCATGGGCATATTCTGGGCAATTCAGTAGGTTCTCTAGACTAGAAAAAAGCACATCCTTTTGACCTAAACATCCAACTCTCAATAATCTGAATGTCAGTTGCCTCCCTGTTATATTTTCTGCAATTCCCTCATGTCTGCTGCCTGTTTTGTGAGCTCCTGCAAGAAGAGGTAATCAATCAGGAAGAAGAAGCTAGGTTAGTTCCAAGGAGTACAGGTTGCCCCCCAAAATTGTATGCATACTTTGAATAATTATTCATTCCAGTGGATTAAATCTGAACAAAAGAAGCATCAATTGAGCTATCAGCTGTTAAGTGTTTGTTCATTTTGGGGGAACACCCTATATAAGCGTGTGATTGAGCTAATGGGGAAAGGGTGGAGTCCAAGTGTGAACATTGCCATTGTATTGTTTACACAAACCCAGCAGAACCGAGGTTCCTTTGTTCTCCAGACTAGCTCAGATATTCCTCAAAGCATGGGTCAAACTTCTGTCCCAAAGTTTATCTAGTATGAAATATGTGCTCTAAACTCTAAAAGCTAAGCGGCTTTTATTATGAAATGAAGACATGTCCTTAAAATAATGATTTTTGAAATAGAAGTGCTGTGAAGGGGTCTCAGCTGCTGACACTGAGATGAGCAAGCAGTAGAGCAGAAGGGGTCCCATGCTTAACCCCACTGCAGCTGAAGTCCTGCTCTTTGATGAGCTGTGCATATTGGCCCTGCCTTTGCACAGAGAATTCCAAGGTTAAAAAGTTTGAAATCCATTGCTTTTTTTGGGGGGGTGGGGGGAATGAAGAGAGAGAGAGAGAATTTCTCCCAAGAAAATAAGCAAAGACCAATGTCCCAACTTTTATTCCTACTTCATTTTCCTGTTTGATTTCAAAATTTTTCTTTAACTCCTTAACATTACACCCAAAGTGAGGTTGTCGCAGCTTTTGAATTAGGCGCAACAGCCCCTCAAATAGACACACAGAGGTGATTAAACCTAGTATGAGTCTCCCTTTACGTTTATTTCTCACCAGTCCCTCCCTCAGCCCTTCTAATTACTTCCTAGCATTATTCTATGGGTCAGATGGGGACTGAGAGAAAGCCCTGTTTTCACCTGGAATTGCCAGCTCTGGTCTTCCTTTGCTAGCCATGTACGGACAGCTTAAGGTCCTGCAGACCTTGATAAAGAGCGCTAGTATTTTCATGCTGAAAAATCACCCCATCTGCTGCGAGGCAGTGAACGTTCTTCCCAGTGTGGCAGGTGCACCACAGAGATGAGCAGCCTCATGTTTCAGCTGACATATTACACAACAGTTTTCAGCCCCGAGCAACACACTTCTGGGAACTCTAGCTGCAGGAAGAAGCTGAAAGCTGTGGGATTTCAGGCCACAGAATAGGTTCCACCTGGGAAGATGGGTCACCCCGGAAGATTGAGTGCTGCATGATGTGCAGTGGGAAGGATCTACAAAATATTTCATACAAAATATTAAAATAAGAGGGATTCCACTATCAGTTTTGTTGCAGCAACTCTACTGGCCAATAGCCCCCAGTTTTGGAGTGCTGTCACATGGTAATAATTATGTGGATTCTCACATCCATGACTTGGCCCATTTGCAGATATGCTCTTGGCATGGGTTATCCTTTCAATACCCTTTCAAGACTGTCCTAAAATACAGTCTGCTGATAGATTCTATGGAGGAAGAGGTTGCTTCAAGCAAACAGTGCAGAGCTGCAACCCACACACACATGTCAGGAGCTCTGCTTCCAACTCTAGGTCCAGGATAGCAAAGAGGTATCCTGTCAACTGATTCATTGGTAGTGTTTCCTGGAGCACTTTGCCAAAGAGGTTGTGAGATAACATATCAAAGCTTAGGGAGTAGTCCAACCAGTGTGGCTCAGTGGTTGAGTGTCGACTTATGAACCAGGATGTCATGGTTCGATTCCCAGTCAAGGCACATGCCTGGGTTGCGGGCTTGATCCCCAGTAGGAGGCATGCAGGAGGCAGTTAGTCAGTGATTCTCATCATTGTTGTTTCTATCTCTCTCTCCTCCCTTCCTCTCTGAAATCAATTTTATATATATATGGAGCAGCTGTGCTGTGATTGATTACTAATGTCTGCTAAAGATATGGGAGAGTCAACTATGGCTTATTTTCCATCTCTGCTGTAGGATTAGACAACAGTCTTTGATAACTCCTTGCTTATACTCTTCTTACATGCTACATGTTCATAGCAAATGCATTAATTAGCCAGTGGCAGAATTTGTATCTAAATGAAGATTTTATCCTTATTGGTTTCATTTAATAAAAGTTAATTAAGGCCTGGCTGGTGTGGCTCAGTGGGTGAGCATCGACCTATGAACCAGAAGGTCACGGTTTGATTCCTGGTCAGGGCACATAGGGTTGCAGGCTCAATCCCCAGTAGGGGGTGTGCAGGAGGCAACCGATCAGTGATTCTCTCTGATCATTGATGTTTCTATTTCCCTCTTCCTTCCTCTATGAAATCAATAAAAACATATTTTTAAGTTAATTAAGGAATCAGTGGCCTCATCTCCTCTGGGCTGTGGCATCACCTCCGCTGACATCTGCCTAGACAGAGCCCAGCCTGGCTCTCTCAGTTCAGCATGTGCCATGTATATACAACTCCCTTGAGAGACCAAAGTTGCTGGGAAAATGGTCACATGTTTTTGCTATCAAATTTACTTTCCGATGGTATTCAGCTCTGGTAAGCACTCTTTCCACCTTAATCTGTCCTCTGCCTTCCCCACCCCTGATGAATTGTGGCCCTTGGCCAAGATGCAATGTTTATTTTAGTTCGCATGCCCTTCTGCTTTAGCCCTGAATGTGAACACTGATATATAGAATCATGGGCGGGGTTTAATTTAAGGCTTTCTCTCCATTCACTTATCTGGGGTGGATTTTTTCATTGATCACACAGGTCCTCCTGCAAGCTGTAGGAGCGTAGAGTTGGACTGCTGGGACGGAGATGATGGGATGCCCATCATTTACCATGGACATACACTGACAACCAAGATCCCCTTCAAGGTGATGCTTCATAGCTTTCTTTAAATCAAATCTCAAAGAGTCATTATCTTCATTTGCCAACTTAAATCAGTGACTAACACATTGTACCTTAGGTCGAGGATTCTGATCCTTGCTCTGAAGACTCCACAGCATTTACAGTGTTATGCAGGCAGCACGCATGTTCATTTTTCTGGGAATTGATATAAAACTCTTATTAGATTCTCATTCAACCAAAATTTAGTTACCATTACCTTAAGTTAGTTTTCACATAATAATATAGGGGTTGACAAAAATAGGTTTACAGTTGTGAGTACATGACACACAGTTTATTCTTGTAGTATTTATTTGTATTATTTGTCTTCTTTCCAAACAAACTATAAACCTACTTTTGCTTACCCCTGTATTATTGTAATTTTTACATTATGTGATGATATATAAAGTTCAAGGGCTGTTCCTTTGCTATAGGAATTAAAGGTCATTTGTCCTGCTAACAGGGGCCAACAACATGTGTTAAGAGATGATTCAATAATTAACTTTATAAAGAAATGAGAATTGGTTCCACTTGGGGAGTTGGTCGCCCAGGAAGATTAGTCTCATTGGATTACTATTTCAAATTCTAAGTAGTTTATTATTTCATTGTGTGATTACTATCCTCATTCAGAGGGTCTTTGGCTGTGCAACATCATTTTTCTCTGAACTGTGGCTTGTCTGGAAAAGATTATTATTTCTCTCATCTGTGGAGATAATGGCTAAAATGCATTTTCTCTTTAACTCATTTCCCTATTCAGCCTTCTTAAAACCCTTGTACTTTACATTGAGGGGATTGGAAGTTGATAATTGTGTTTACATATACACATAAATATATGTGGTGTATGTCTCATTGCGCCAAGTAGATTATAAACTCCTTGAGAGCAGGAAAGCATCTTATGCTTACAATTTTTGATGCTATAACTAAAATAATGTATTTTACCTACAGTATACACAATATAAATATATTAATGATTTGTTAAATTCAGCATACTGTTTCTTATAGCATGTGAACAAAACTCAGTATGATCAGTTTAATGTCTTTATAGAAAATAGCCTTATCCTCTTACTTAATTTGAAAATATAAAAACCACTTTGGCCAGAGCCTTCTGAAAATTATAATTTAGATGCCTTCTGAGGCTGTAAGTACCTTGCCTTCTGACACCTTGGACAAATACCTAATGAGATGTCTCATAAGACAGACCCTAATGAGCTGTTGTATCTCTCGTAGGACGTGATCGAAGCCATTGATCGCAGTGCCTTCATCAACTCTGACCTGCCAATCATCATATCAATTGAAAACCACTGTTCATTGCCTCAGCAACGAAAAATGGCAGACATTTTCAAGGTACACTTTTAGCTAAGAGGCAGGATGGTATCTTGGCCCTTGTCTTGCCATTGCTAATAAGGCAAGTTTTATACGAGCCTCTGTGGACCACACCACAGCTGGATTCCAGCTGTGAAGCACAATTAGGGTCCCTCAGACCTGAGAAATCAGGGTGCCCTGGAGGCTTGGTCTTTCTCCTGGAAGGTTCATCTTTTCAGCTGGAGTAATAGAAGCATTGTTTTGTTCTGTGGTTCTTTGGAGAGGCCAACCCTCCAATGCTTCTGGAACCACAAATCAGGGGTGCCAAGATGTTCCCTGTCATTGTTTGTGGAAAAGCTGACAATATCTCAGGGCAAATCAGTCAAATCTTCCTGAGGCCCACCCCACAGATACAGGGTCCAAGTTGGCAAGGAGCTCGGCGTGGCCACAGCAGTTGCTATGGTAACACTCCGCCCTTCCTTATACAAGGAAACTATAAAGCAGATTTAGGGGCAAATATGCTATTTACTGTCCCCTACCCTCCACTGGTAGAGGCTTTTGTGGAAACATGGCTTTCAGTGGGAGGGAGGGACATAGCCAGCAGGAAATGTCCTGAAACGCTAATGCCAACAAAACTAGCCTTTCATATGTCTTTCCTTTGCCATCATTTAGAAGAATGGTCTCTAAACTTTTTTGATTATATACTCCTAACAGTAAAACACTAAGACATGTATTCCTTTGGTGTACTTATTGACTTATTTCTAAATCATATACATATCCTATATTAACTTATTTTATATATTAAAACATGCAAAAAGTAGAATATAAAAAGGAATAACAGAAAGGATAAAGTAATAAGTGAATTTTAAATACTATTATTAATGGTTAGAAAAAACTTTGCTCTCATAAAAAATTTTTAAAGTGAATTTGCTATTTACTTATTGTCTAAAGTTTTCATGTGACTGAGTATGCTTCATTACGTAATACTTATCTGGCAGGGGAGATACCGTTATTACAGATATGCTTCATTATTTCTGAAATTTTGAATCTCCTGCATCAGGAGGCTCCTCCTTGTCCCTCAGGGACCTCCATGAGCAGCTCCTGACATCAGACCGAGTCTGACTTACAGACTGAGGGAACAAGCCATCATTTCAGTTTGTACATTAAACATTAATCAGCTTCCATTTTTGTTCTTTTCTAATTAAAAATAGCTAGAAATAGCATTTGCCGTATTTCCTACCCTTACCCCAGTGGATCATCCTGTGCCTGATCCTCTCCCACCTCCTTGAAGCACACACACTCCACTTTGGAGCCAGTGCTCAGAATCTTTGTGAGAACGGTGTCTGTGGTTCTTTGTACCAAATGGTGAATTCTCCCTATTATCTTTCATCTTTGTCCCTACTCCCTACCTACTTCAAGGTTTCTATTCTTTGATTTCTTACCCGCATCTGGAGCAGGCCATACTCTACAAACCACAGCCTCTAACTGAATCTCTGTTTTCTTCTTTACTACATTAGACCCCAGAGCATTCTCCTGAAGAGTTAGAGCTCGCCCCGTGGAGGAAATGGCCTGGCCTCTCCTCCTTGCCTTCTCACCACCTCCCTTCCTCCCAGTAGGAAACTACTGGGGAGATGGGGACACAGCTTCTTTGCTACTTCCTCTTTCTAGGATTTTAGAAACAATTCAACGGGGCTGAAACAATTCAAGTATAGATAAAAGGCATTGATTATGTGTTTTTCTTTCTAGACTGTATTTGGAGAAAAACTGGTGGCTAAGTTCTTATTTGAAAGTGATTTCTCAGATGATCCAATGCTTCCTTCCCCTGACCAACTTAGAAGGAAGGTGCTTCTCAAAAATAAGAAGCTAAAAGCCCACCAGACGCCGGTGGATATCTTAAAGCAAAAGGTACTGTTCTCTTGTTAAAAAGGTTATGGGTTATTGGCAATCGGCTATTAATGGTATCAGTAAAGCTTCCTGTTAACAGTAGGCAATTAGTGGTTAAGTTTTGGGGAAGTCGAAAGTTATACTTGGGTTCAGTGTCCTCACACCTGTGTTGTTCAAGGGTCAACTGTACAATATTAGCCCGTGTTCTCTTTTGCCTGGCCCTCCTCCAGGGCTGCATCACTAACTCACAACCAACCAGCATTGGGGGCCTTTTCTTCTGCAACACTGTTCCTCTGTGCTACTTTCTTTACCCAGCAACTACTGCCCACTTCTCCCTGCCAAGCAGACACGCTGCCCTGTGCATATCTCTACCGGCTTCAAGATGTGTCTGAGTGTCCTTGGAGCTTTTGCCTTTCCCATCCTGCACACGGTCATTTGCAGTCACTTATGCAGCCTCCATCCCACTAATGAATAGATTGTGTTGTACAGGAGTCTTCTTTATGCGGAGCCCAAATCCTCCTTCCCGTTCCTCCTACTCTTTGGCAGTACTTCTTCCCTCCGCAGCTGCACAGGCTAATTGCATATCTAGAAAGCGAGCATGTGTCTCCCCACCAGTGTTTCTCTTCTCCAAGCTAAACATTCTTGTGTCAACTGTTCCCCACAGGATATGGCTGCTAAGAGCCTTCACTTTTCATTAAGGATATTTTGGATAGTCTTAAATTTGTAGACATTTTTGAATTTGCCAGTCTTAAAAACGTGATTTCCAGAACTTCTCCAACTAGGGTCTGGCAGCATGAGGACAGGGAAGCCATCACCTCTTTTCATGTGAGTGTCATGCCTCAGTTAATGCAGCCTAGAATTGCACTCACTTTTAAAATTCTCTCGTGCACACCAGGCTCATGTTGACTTTGTGGAAAACAAAAAAGAGTTCAGTTCATTTCACAGGGACAGTTCTTATGTCTCGTCTCCCCATTTTTCCAGGTTTGCAGTTAATTTTAACCTAGCCCTTGATGGGACTGTCTCAGTGCCACCCAGCTACTTGTGGCAGAGCTAGGATTCAGACCTAGGTCCTCAGAAAAGACCTTCTCAAACACAACACAGGAGTCAGAATATATTGATGAGAATCACTAGAACAGATTTAAAAACATAGATTCTTAGGTCCCTAATCTGCCCAATGAAGTCTGAATTTTCAAGTCAGGCCTGGTAATCTGTTGTAATTATATCATCCTAGAAGTTTGGAAATATTGCTTATCTGTTACTTCCCACAAGGTGAGACCTTATCCAAAAAGCCTAAGCGGTTACTGTGTGGGAGATTTGTTAGTAAAACCACGCTAACTCTTCCTAACCACCTCTTTATTTTCTGTGTTCTCACAACCAGCTATTGTCAGGTAACTTGGCACTTCCTACCATATAATTTCCACAACTTTTGGAAAAATGGGACAGTGTAATCCCATTTCCAGTTTTTTAAGACCATCCCACCCTGATATCCCAGGGAATGTTGACAGTCATGTCTGCGAAGACTTGCAGGTGCCCAGCAGGCTGTGGACCTGGTGACCTGCATTCACACCCGGCTGGGTGAATGGATGCTTTGAGCTCCAGTGTGCGCAGACCCAGCCCCTAACTCGGAAGGCCTGGGTCATTTCTATAAAAGGAACTTAACCTCAGTGAGGATGGGCTAACTCAGAGTGGGATTTCTGAAGCCCTCCATCTGCCTCAAGCTCTTGCTGAGGCTCTTATTGAACCCTCCTGACTGCACCCCACCAGACTTCCTGTATTCTGACCTTGTCTCCTGAACTCCCAGGCTCTGGGGAAACAGAGCAGAGTAAGACATGGTTTCTGCCAAGACCCATCTCCTCGTCTGACCCTTCACTCTAACCCCCTAACCTATATTTAAATTGCTTTTTAAAAATCCTCATCCAAGGATATTTTTTCCATTGATTTTTTTAGAGAGTGAAAGCGGGGGGGGGGGGGAGAGGGAAGGAAGGAGGGAGGGAACCTCAATGTGAGAGAGACACATTGATTGATTGCATGTGCCCCGACCAGAACTGGGGATCAAACTGATACATGCCCTTGACCAGAATCAAGCCCATGACCCTGCGGTCAGTGGGACAGTGTTCTAACCACTGAGAAAAACTGACCAGGGCCTGAATTGCTTTTATTCAAGGGCTAGGGGGCCTGTTTTTCTGTCTCAGAATAAGTAGCATATTGCAAAGAATAGTGGTGTCCGCTCTTGACTGTCCATTTGGGCACCTCTCCCGTACTTCTTGCGCTGGGGGAACTATCTGAGCATCTAGGGACCTTAGCACTCACTGTCCAACATTTACGAGGCAGTGGGAATTTGCGTGGCACCACTCCTAGCATACAGCTCGCACATTTTTCTGCCAGTGAGCCAACCGGGCTCTTTGCAGCATCATTCCCAGCATTTGGCTCTCCCTTGAATGCTTGCTATGTGGAGGCCCTTCTCTTATCCATGACTAATAGACATGCTTTTGTGGCTCACTTGTGTCTAGAGAAGATTCCCTGAAGCTTTGAAGACTGCTAATCCTATGAGACTCTCTGAAAAAAGATTTAAAATTCCCCGATTAAAAAGCATGGGAAAGGCTGTACTGGAAATCTTTGACAAGTCATGCCCTTTAGCATATTAAGTAAAGGCCATGTGAAGCTCCATAGTAGGAATGTGTTTCAGTTTGTGTAAGTGGCTGTTTCCAAACTTCCATTGTGTTTTGTGGTTACTGTAATTGTCCGTTTTTAAATATATTTTTATTGATTTCAGAGAGGAAGGGAGAGGGGGAGAGAGAGAGAAACATCAATGATGAGAATGCACGCCCCCTACTGGGAATTGAGCCCGCAACCCAGGCATATGCCTTTGGCCAGAATCAAACCTGGGACCCTTCAGTCCGCAGGCAGAGGCTCTATCCACTGAGCTAAATCAGCTAGGGCTAATTGTCAGTTTTTACATGACTGAGAGTGTTACACAAAACTCACTTTGAGAAGTCCCAGCCTAGACAGTGTTCAGTTATCCAGGTGGATACAGCTATAGACATAGCCTAATCTGTACCTTGCTTACGTATATGTGTTTATTATAAAGGTCATATGACCACAATTCAAGAACTTCAGGGAATAAATAATTATTTTAAAATATACATAATTCCAAGGCCCAAAACAACCTATATTACAGGGATTCTTAACCTTGGTAATATTCAGAAATAGAATTCAGGGGGTCACGGAATTTAGATGAAAAAAAAACAACTACATCTTCATTTTTACTAACTGTTGGCTGAAATTTAGCATTTCCTCTGATTATAAATGTAGAGAAAAAACCACAGTGACATTGGCAGTACCTATGTCTTTGTCACCAACAGAAACTGTAGATTTCTCATATTATATCACAGTTGTTATAAATGTCTCCAAGAATTACGTATGCTCGTCACTATTTCAAAAACGTTACTTGGCCTACCTATATTCATGCTTTTACTGTGTTAATAAAGAAACCCATATTCCTATTGCACAGATTTGTTTTTTCAACATTTGATAACTGTGTTCACCATTCTTTTTTTTCCCTGTATAATCTTATATATTGATTTTTATACATTTAAAACGTCATTCTGAGAAGGGGTCCTACCTCACCACACTGCCCGAGGGGCCTGTGCCACAAAAACAGGCCAAGAATCCTGATGTATTTCCATTTAAGAGTTAGCCTTTTATGCATATCACTTTATATCATTACAAGAGATACATAGATGCTGAACCAAGGATATAGAAATGTACAGGGTGGGCAAAAGTAGGCTTACAGTTGTTCATATAGAAAAAGACGTGCTTATGATTATTACATTAGCTTTATTAAATAATGTCACAATGCAACTACAAACCTACTTTTGTCCACCACTGTATGTGTGTTTTTATAGACACACACACATATATACATTTACATGTATAAATATTATATACACATAAATAATCCTATATTTTGGATTATTTCCTTATGATAGGTGCCCAGACCTGTATTCTTGTGTCCTGTCATAACCCCACACAGTGGTTCTAGTTGAATATAAGGCTTATGACCTTCCTAGCAGCAATACCAAGTTTTTGGAAGTTTCTAAGCCTATTAATCTGACTGATGAAATTAATCTGTTGGTCTCTTCAACCATAGGGATTCTAACATTTTTCTCAAGGTCAAAGGCCTTTAAATATTATTTTAAGAAGGAAAAAGAAAAATAGTTTCTTAGCAAAGATTTACTTTTCCAGAATTGATGGGCTGGTCCACTTCAGCATTTGGGTCTGAGGCACCAAGGTTTCTCTGGGAGGGTTTGCCTCAGGGAACCACAATTCCTTAGGATTTTTCTTTTTTTTTTTAAAGTATACTTTATTGATTTTTTTATAGAGAGGAAGGGAGAGGGATAGAGAGTTAGAAACATCGATGAGAGAGAAACATCGATCAGCTGCCTCCTGCACACTCCCCACTGGGGATGTGCCCGCAACCAAGGTACATGCCCTTGACCGGAATCGAACCTGGGACCCTTGAGTCCACAGGCCGATGCTCTATCCACTGAGCCAAACCGGTTAGGGCAGGATTTTTCTTGAAGAAAGCGCCAGGATCCCTCTTGCAGAAAAGTTAACATTCACCCAATGATTAACCTTGTACTTCAAGTGAATTTAGATTTTTTTTTCCTTTCCCAAATGAATCAAAATAGGATAAACCACTTTTAGCATGAGATGGTCATTTTGAAAGCTGTAAATGAACGTTCAGTAGCTTAGCATCTGCAGTCTTTAATTGTTGATATCTTACAGGCTCATCAGTTAGCATCCATGCAAGCTCAGGCTTACAATGGTGGGAATGTCAACCCCCCACCTACTAATAATGAGGAGGAGGAAGATGAAGAGGACGAGTACGATTATGACTATGAATCTCTCTCTGATGGTAAGAGAAACAGACTCTGCTGTGTGCAGGGAAGTGCCTTGATTTTCTGTTGGGGGAGAGGGGAGTGGTGTCTTCCCCCGCCCCCCCAAAAAATAAGCCCAACACTCCAGAGACCAGCAATACAAACTGTTGTAATATATTGTCCAAGAGTTTCTGAATCCTTTCACCTGGCAAGAAGGACCAAGTTAGCCACTACAGCCACCACTCAAGGAAAGAAGAGGAAGGTATGGGAAGCAACACAGGAGTCATTCCTAAGTGGGTTTCTAGAGGAAAAGCTGAGAATGGGGTTTCTCTGCAGTTTCTGACTTGATTGATGCTCTCAGCAGGAATTGTAGACTGTGGCGGAATCGTTGCTGTCTCCTGCATCACCTGCAGGGGGCAGTGTGATGTTCCTGTACTCTCCGCTCTCCCTCTCACAGCTTTCACTCCTGATTTCTAGGAGCATGAAAAAGAAAGAGGCATCATTTCCTTACCCCACCAACTTCCTTCTCACATTACTAAACCAATGACACATTTTCTCCCAGCCCCACCAAAGGGACAAAACATGGGCAAGCTAATGGCGCAATACAAAAAAGTCACTGGAATAATGTATCTAGAAATTGTTACAGGTGAAGGATTCTTCTTACATGAGAATTAAGTTTTGGGTGTGTTTTGTTTGCACTAAATTAGTGTCATTTGTTACAGATTACAAAATGTCCTCTCAGGTATCGTTGCTGATGATAGACTGTTTTACTTTGGCAAATTCTGTAAGACAACAGTGTAGTAAGGAAAATATGCCAACTTTCTTATTTATGTAAATACTGTACATGTGGAATGCATTATTTCTCTGTAAGATAATTGTTTTGCTAATATGCATATATGCACCGACCAGGGACCACTCACCACTGGCATTAAGACAGCCAAACTGCCCTCCAGGTATCTGCTTCTCACACAGCAGAACTGTCTCCTAGTCATGTTTGGCTCCTTGAACCTCCACCGTGGCCAGTAGTTACAAGCCAGTCTTTTTGTGCCCACCCCACTCCAAATACAATTCTAGTCTGTCCATTTTTTAAATTTAAGTATAGTTGACATACAATATTATATTAATTTCAGGTGAGCAGCATAGTGACTCAACATTTATGTCCTTATGTCCTCACTACAATAAATCTAGCAACTCACCATACAAAGTTACTATGATAATATGTTTTCTATGCTGTACATTGCATCCCCTTGACTTTTTTTTTATACCTGGAGGTTTGTGCCTCTTCTTTCCCCTTTTCACTCATCTCCCATGTCCATACCTCCTGGCAACCATCAGTTTGTTCTCTGTATTTGAGTCTGTTTCTGTTTTGTTTTGTTTGTTTTATTTGTTTATTTTTTAGATTTCACATATAAGTGAAATCATATGGTATTTGTCTTTCTCTTTCTCACTTATTTCACTTAACATAATACTCTCTTCAGTGATGGCGAACCTATGACACACGCGAACTCATTTTTTTGGTTGATTTTTCTTTGTTAAATGGCATTTAAATATATAAAATAAATATCAAAAATATAAGTCTTTGTTTTACTATGGTTGCAAATATCAAAAAATTTCTATATGTGACACGGCACCAGAGTTAAGTTAGGGTTTTTCAAAATGCTGACACGCCGAGCTCAAAAAGTTCGCCATCACTGGTCTAGGTCTATCCATGTTGTCGCCAATGGCAAGATTGCATCTTTTTTATGACTGAATAATATTCATTGTATATATGTACCACATCCTTTTTATCCACTCATCTATCGATGGACACTTAGGTTGCTTCCATATCTTGGCTATTATGAATGATGCAGCAATGAACACAGGGAGGCATATATCTTTTTTAAAAGTATGTTTTTATTGATTTTAGGGAGAGGGAGAGAGAGATAGAAACATCAGTGAGAGAGAAACATGGATCGGCTGCCTCCTGCACACTCCCTACTTGGGGATCAAGCCTGAAACCCAGCTTGTGCCCTGAACTGAAGTGAACCAGCAACCTCCTGGTGCAGAGGACGATGCTGAACCAGCTGAGCCACACTGGCCAGGATGCAGATACCTTTTGAATTGTTTTTGTTTCCTTCAGATAGACATTCAGAAATGGAATTTTTGTATCTATTTAATATTTATCTTTAGTTGAGTGCTTCATACCATCAACTAAAAACCAATTTATTTATTTGAAATCCCATCAGATTATATGAGGGTCATATTCTCTAATGGGGAGGTTAAAAGAGGGAGAAAAATATAATTTTTATATTTTATTCTTGAAAAGTTGTGGGAATATGAATATTTCTATATTGACTTATTCTTCCCCGTGGGTCCCTACAACAGTCATGGTGATGTTTTTCCATAGAAGAACAAATTTATTCAGATAAGAAATGAAAACCAATTTTTTTGGTTGATATTTAAGATATCAACCAATCCAGAAGTAATTTCCTTCTGTAAGAAGTTAGTACATTGGAAGATACATCCATTCTCTATCATAAATCATCCTGTGTGTTTTTTTCTGTACTTTTAATAACAAGAAAGGAGCTGGCACCCTAGTTGGTTTGGCTCAGTGGATAGAGCGTCAGCCTGAAGGGTCCCAGGTTCGATTCCAGTCAAGGGCACATGCCCAGGTTGTGGGCTCAAACCCCAGTAGGGGGCATGCAGGAGGCAGCCTATCAATGATTCCCTCTTATCATTGATGTTTCTATCTCTCTCTCCCTCTCCCTTCCTCTCTGAAATCAATAAAAAATATATTTTTTAAAAAAAGAAAGGAGCTAGCTTTTCATTATTATTATTATTGGTGTTTTGATATGCAAATTAAAAATGAACAGTTTGGGGAAAGATCTTTCTGATTTACACGCATACCTCAGAGATATTGCAGGTTAGGTTCCAGACCACCGCAATAGTCATAATATTTTTGCTGGTGGAAGAGCTTGTAAAAAACTGCAATATCAGTAAAGCACAATAAAATGAGGTATGCCTATATTTTCAGTAGAGTAAAATTTAAGACAACAGTGAATATCTATAGTAGTAGAGTGCTTTTCTAAAACCAGCATGTGCTGGGGTGGGGGAGTATATATGGAGAGGGGCCCCACCAGGTCTGCCCCATGGACTGTGAGACCTGGGCATTGTCCTTTCACACTGTGGCCTTAGGCCCCTCGGGTGTGTAATGAGAAGGCTCTGTTACATGTTGGCTGACATTCTCCCTTCTTCCAGCACTAACAGTTAGGACCTACAACAATCAAACCCTCTGCCGCCACGGGGTTATTTCCCATTTCACTGAAAGATTGCTCTGACGGGCTGATTCCCAAACGGGCCTCGTAGTTATGCCGTGATGTGTTGAAGTCTGGCCTGTGCAGGCTTCTTGATGCTCCTGTTACGGGTCCTGTCAGTCTTGCACTTTTGGTGGTGGTGGTATGTTGCCTTACTCCTCTCTGCTTCCCTCCACCATCTTCACTTTCTCCAGCTGAGCTGAGAAGGACAGAGAAGCCTGCCTGCTGTGGGCAGGACCAGTCCCAGCTTCATCAGCTTCTTGTAATGATGGGTCCCTTGGAAGCTGTGCCCAGTCCCCTCAGAAATGAACGTGCTCTCAAATTTCTGCATAAATTTGCAAGAGTGTTCACAGGCCTTCTGAGGCCCTCGCAAGCAGCCCAGGTTGAGAATCCGTCTCGAGAATCTGGGGGCGCAGTTTATCTCTGTGACAGCCCCAGGCCTCCGTATCCCCATCTATAAAATGAATTAGTCTGAAGCCTCCTTTGCTGTAAAAATGTGGCAATTCCAAAATTGCTTCCAGAAAATCTAAAGGGTGTTGTACATGGGGCTCATGTGTTTCAGGAACCACTACTCTGCCTTTTAGCCAGTAAGTTCTAAGCAACTATTTAATTAAATTTCAATAAATATCAGTTAATTTTTTCCAACCTTGCTGTTTATCCTGACTAACTTTGAACATGCCCTAGAGTATAGATTTGAACTGGCAACTTAATATAGAAATATTCTATCACAATGACTACATGGTCCTAAAACAATCCACTTATATCCAGTGCACATAATGTATTATTGGGAGTATTAATGCAAAATGTGAGTGTGGCAGCATGTTACCCATTAACAATGTTTGTGCTTCTTTTATTGCTAGCCTTTGCATCCCTTAGTAGTCAAAATAGTACATCGATGGAAGAGTTCTTATTTCATTTATCTTATCACCTAAGCTGTTGTTATTTATGCTCTGCTTCATACCTGAGTTTAATTTATCTGGCTTTTTGTCTTAATTTCTCTTACTTTTATCTCCTTTCTGATTCTGTTTTTCTGTAGCAGATGTCCTTACTGCTTCTCCTGCTCCTAACTGTCAGGAAGGTAAAGCCACTCGAACTGGCCATTTTAACTGCATGAATGTCGGCATCTGTTTCCAGTTTCTTAGGCCTGATTAGTATGACGTTGTGACACTTACGTGAATAAAAATGTAGTAAAATGATTGATCTCACTTACCTCTTGGCAGCCTGCATGGCCCTGATTTGGTATAATGATATTTTGGTCTAAGCATTTGTGGTCTGATGAGATAGTAAATCCAAGGTGAGAAATGTGCTTTCATGTTTTTCATATTAAAAGAACATAATCGTGATGTACCTCTAACACTTTAAAGACATTTTGAATAGAAATTCAACATAAGACCAAAGTATAGAAGTATCTCTCATACTTTGCATATTTATAGATATATTTCAATTCCTATCCCTAAAATTCTCACTTAATCAATTGATAGACAAGTATGAAAACTTTACTTTTTAATTAAGTATAATTGTGAAAACTGCATTGCAAATGACAGTGTCTTTTTTCTTCTGGTTTTGACATTTCTAGAGGTGAAAGAGGCTAATAGCTTCATTTCAAAGTGAGAGTGATTAAACCACTCACCATCTAGAAGTGCTTCAACCACTAAACCCTTCCCCAACCCATGTGCCGAGAGCTTCTTGACACAGGGCATCTTCTGTCATCTTTGCACAGAGCCAGTCATCTATATGAAAACGAGCCTTCTCATTTAGATGATGTCTGTGTGGTACCAAAACTACTGGCAAATGAATCCATGCAATCAAAAATAAGCACACTGTTTAACAAAATCTAAAAATTATACATCATTTTGGTAACATGTAGCCAGCCTTGTCTCACAACAAGCACAAGTGTCTGGGTATCCTTGCCATGACGTAGACGTAGCCCTTGAGTGAGCATTTGGTTCTTGTGCGCTGAAGCCTGCCAACTCATTTTCAGATAACATTCTAGAAGACAGACCTGAAAGCAAATCGTGTAGCGACAAGCTTCAGTTTGAGTATAATGAAGAAATCCCCAAGAGGATAAAGAAAGCAGACAACTCTGCTTGCAACAAAGGAAAGGTGGGTGAATGATTTCTGTTAAATTACACTTGGACCATGACACTCTTGTCAGTTTCAGGTGGGATTTCCCTCCTTCCCTGCCCCTTCCCCTCACTTTCCCTTAGATGCCAAAGCCCACATGGTGATGCTATGGGACACCCACCTGCCATTTGTAGAAGGTTAGTCATTGAGTCATTGATTCATCCAGCCAATACCTACTGAAGGTGTACTGGGTGGCAGACACTGAGGTGGTGCAGGAGGTGGTTCAGTGATGGAGCCCAATCCGTAAACAATGCTTGTAGGTAAATAAAAGAGCAGTGATTTCACAGTGTTATCAGAGCATTAAGAAGATGATGTTGCAGAAGGAAGATTTAGCCAAACAGACAGAAACGGCATGCAGGCCAAGAGGACAGCCGGGTATGTTCAAGGAATTGCTAGAAGTTTGAAGATGTTGGGGATGACCACGAAGATGAACCGGGCCAGATGGTGAAGTGTTAACAGAGGAAGGACACTGAGAATAGAAGGACAAATTAGATACCCAGACTCTACCCTCAAGTGCCTCACAGAATACAGGCTCTGAGCAAATCTGTAGACGTAGTTGCAGTGAGAATGTTAGAGAACAAAAGAATAAAATATCAGAAATCTGAGCCACAGAAGATACCTGCTCGATTCTCTATTCATTCAGCAAATACACACTGACTGTTCCACACTGGACTGCACCCAGGCGTCAGACTCACTTTTTGCTCTCAGAACGGGGTGAATGTAGAGCAAGGTGAAACCCACTGAGAAAGCAGCAGATAAAGGGTTTCTGGGTGGCATATACCTTTCATGTCAACTGGTGTAATTTTCCCCTTGCTAGGTGTATGACATGGAGTTGGGAGAAGAATTTTATCTTCCTCAGAATAAAAAAGAAAGCAGACAGATTGCACCAGAGCTTTCCGACCTTGTCATCTATTGCCAAGCAGTAAAATTCCCAGGTAAGAGTAGTCAAACACTTCTAAAACATTTAAAGGTGCCAAGAGATAAAAATATGCTATTTATTTAATTGGGTAGTGTAAATATTCTCAAAATAGCTAAATTGTGTTGCTGAAATCATTGTTACAATACATCCTAAATATTTGTTATTATAATTTGCTGTGATGCTCATGAGGAAAATACCATAAAATATTTATTTTCCAGATCATATTATGTCTTTTTATAATAGTTAATAGTGAAAATGATAATAAAATAATAATATTCATAACACCTAGTAGCTAAAATTTATTAAGCATTTAAGTACCAGGATTTGTGTATTTTACATACATCATCTTATTGCCTTCATAATAATTCAATGAGATATTGGGTTTATTCACCCTCCCCCTTTTTTTTGACAAATACAAAAGTTTATTTAACAAAAGTTCAATGTGAAAATGGACAGGACTAGATTTTTATATTGTAGTGAAGCAGGTGCTGTGGAGAGGGGACATATGGAAGCAGTTGATTTCTCTGGTAAACACAGCCATTCTTTGTACTCGTTCCAAGGTTTCTAACATGATGATGCTATTTCCTCGTATTACCACCATTCCACTATTGTTCTGTTGCCCACCAGTTGCCATCTCCACACATTCATCTATCACAAGATTCATAAAGGGATCAAATCCCTGCAATATTCCTTGGACATGGCTGCCACCATTTAATTTCAATGATAACTTCTTGTCCATAATTTTTTTTTTTAACTCAGGAGGGTGAGCTTTGCTCATGGCATCTAAGTGAGCTCAAAGATACCTCCAAACAGAATTCATGGCCTCTCTGACACTCCTGCGGTCAGCCCAGCATTTGCTCCTGACGTCACCGATCTACTCCCCATTTTTAAATAAGACAAAGTCTGAGAGAGATAAAGTAATTGGCTCTAGGTTTCAGAGTGAAGCAGTTAAGACTCTTCTTTGAAAGTGGCAGAAATTGACTTACACAAAGAGTAACCTTATTGGCTCATGTATTGAAAAATGGGTACAGAAGTTTCAGGTACGGCTTGATCCAGGACTCTCTCCCTGTTTCTCACTGTCTCTGTCGTGTTGGCCCTCTTCCCTTTGGGCTGTAAGGCAGCTGCAGCAGGCCGGCACTACATGCTTCCAGATTCAGCTTCAGTGTAAGCCGCTCTTCCAGAACTTTCCGCAGCAGTTTGATTGTTTTTCACTGGGTCCTCTGCCCATTCCTGAACTAGTCACTGTGGCCCAGCGCAGGCAGTGTTCAGACTGTCCCAGGCCTCTGTCACCTGCCCCACCCCTGAGCTCCACCCAAACCACAAGGGGCGTTTCAGTGGGAGAAAAAGTTTCCTCAATTGGCCATTTCTAGAAGTAAAGTGCTGATAAACAGCTTTTAAAAAAGGGGGTGGGGTCCATTTCAGCTAACAAATGGCATAACTACGATTCTGGAGCCTGTCAATCTGCATTGCACAGCCTCGCCTCTCTTGTCAGGGCGTGTCATCAGTGAGCTCACCCAGTGTGCATCCCACAAGGGGACAGCAGGAGGTGGAGGGCAAACAGGAGAGTCCATAACCTAGGAAGTCAGAAAAATCTACCTCTTTCTACTAAGAAAAAGGATTCCCTTGCAGAGGACAGGAAAGCTACTAGAATTGGGGGATTATCTAAACGTTAGCAAACTTGGCCTGGAGAGGGTTAAAATACCAACCCTCATTTTTTTCAATATGGTCTGAATGCAGATCCTGGCTCCCAGAGGGTTATCTTAAGCATCAGTTCTCACACTCTGCCCTGAAATTGGGACAGAGGTATTGGGCTATTTAAAAATTAGGTAATAGTGGTCTTTTTACACACCAGAAGGAAAAAAGTCATAAATAGAACTTTCTCAATTTTAAGCTCTCTCCCATAAACTGGAGATTTTGGCAGCTGCTGCTGCTTACCTGTTGGCAAATTCTGTTGCGGAGAATATGAATGAATAATTAGCAAGCAGAGATCTCAAAGACATGCAGGAACCTAGCCATTTAGGTGTAGTTTCACAGACCAGGCCTTCTTTCACATAAGTACAATGTGATCATATTTGCAGCTGGTGAAAGTGTTCTTATGATGAGGAAAAATCCTTTTCCTGTCAAAAGAGCCTCATGGCCTGCGTGTCCTTCATCACAGGAACAAGTGTGAAGGTCACTTCGTTCAAGAATCACACTCACTGCCTCTCCTGTTCTTTATAAATTCAGCTCACACTACACCCAAACCACCCCACCGGTTTGGTCTTTTCTTCTCAAGTACCGAGTAGATAAAGAGCAAATATGCCCAAATTTTGGAAGAGTCAAAGGTCATTGGGACCAACCTCTGACTGGAGGCACAGGCTACGCATGGCGTTATTTGGCTTATTTTTAAAACTAGAGGCCGCGTGCACGGATTCGTACACTGGTGGGGTCCCTTGACCTGGCCTGCACCCTCTCGCAATCCGGGACCCCTAGGGGGACAGTGCATAGTCGGCCGGATCCCCACAGGCCGATCTTTGGTTAATCTCTTCCCGCCTTTCCCCCACCCCCTTCCTTCTGAGATTTATCAGTCTGTTCCATGTTTCCATGCCTGTGCATTGAGCATCTGCCCCTGATGGTCAGTGTGCATCATAGCTACTGGTTGAATGGTCACTTAGGCTTTTATAGATATAGATTCCCAATATGCTGTTCTTTTAAAGTGTTTAAATGGCACGCAGTCTTTATAAGACATACTGTAGTTTAATTTTTTTTAGTAATTGAAATTTCGGACATTTTTCTTTACTTCCTTTCTCAAAACCACTAAATTGTGTTGCTAGAATCATTGTTACACTACCTTCTACATATTTATCATGATTTTTATTTGTTCTGATGCTCTGGGGGAAAATACCATAAAATGTTCATTTTGCTACACTATGGATTTTAATTTTGCTACATTATCCATTTCAATGAATCTCACCCTTCACCATCCCAAGTCCCATCCACAGAGGCATGTGCAAAAATATCTTCAGAGCAGTGAGGCAGCATGAAGACCACGTGGCACGACCTTCCCCAGAAGTACAGTAACCTCCCCAAGATCAGGAACCCGCTTCAGTGGCAGGATTCCGCTCCTCAGTGACCTTGACTACAGCAGTTAGTTACCCTCTCTGCACTTCAGAGGCCCTTCCAATAAAAGAGACAGAACAGTCCTCACTTGCAGGGTTGTCGTAAACATTAACAATAAAGTACCTAATGCGACTAGCACACTATCTACAGGTAGTTGGCTCGCTGGAACTGATGGTGGTTGCTATTCTTATTGATAAACTAGAGGCCCGATGCACAAGATTTATGCAGGGGGGGGAAGGAAGGGGGCAATCAGACATCCCTCTCGCAATCTGGGACCCCTCGCTCCTAACCACCCGCCTGCTCACTCCTAACTGCCTACCTGCTCGCTCCTTACCGCCTGCCTGCTTGCTCCTTTCCGCTTGGCTCGCCGCTCCTTAGTGCTGCCGTAGAGGAGGGAGAGGCTCCCGCCACCACTGTTGTGCTCACCAGCCGTGAGCCTGGCTTTTGGCTGAGCAGCGCTCCCGCTGTGGGAGTGCACTGACCACCAGTGGCAGCTCCTACATTAAGTGTCTGCCCCCTGGTGGTCAGTGTGCATCATAGCGATTGGTCATTCTGGTCGTTCCAGTCGTTCTGCCATAAAGATCGCTGAGCCTTTACATATATAGATGGGCCAACAGGGCAGATTCCTCCCCTCTCTTGCTCACCAGCCCGTGTTCCTGCTTCCTCGCCCCACCCGGAGAGAACAGCCAGGCTGTTCACAGAAGGTCCCACATATCCCTGGGGAATGTCGACGTGGGCCAGGATGTGTGCAAAACTCCCAGAATGAACACAGGGCCTCACTCTGACCTCTCATCAGTTTTACTTGGGAGAAAATCTACTGTTACATCATTGTGTAGAGGGCAAAGTTCACACAAAATTTTAAGATAAAGCATGAAAACTCACTAGTGCAACTTAGCACGTCTTTGTGGTTAAGGATACTTCAGAGAAAAAATTTAGAAGCCCCATAGCTGCTATGAACTGAGCACTTTCTCTGAACAAGTCACTCGACTGAGTATGTAAATATACATGATCTCATTTCATCGTGACCACAGCCCTTTTATAGGTGAGCAAGGAGTGCAGAGGGTTCGGTAGCTTGTGGGCGGTCACACCACGAGGAACTGGGTTTAAACCCCAAAGTCTATGCTTTTATGAAACACTCCTTTATCCTGTCTTCTCTGATGATGTTTTTGGAAGGTGTATTTTCATCTCAAAGAGGGCCTCCTGAACACTGCTCCAGCTGAAGGAATTATTATCTAATGCAGTGGTGGGCAACATGTGGCTCGCGAGCCACAGTTTGCTGACCACTGATCTAATGGTACAATGTAGACAGTGGAAACAGTTGGGAGGCCACGGGCTTGCCTGGTGCCTTTAACTCACTCTTCCTGCACTGGATCCAGGTCTGCATGGTGTGCATTCATTTCCTCGTTCAGCAAATATCTGTTAAAGTGCTGCTGTGCGCCAGGCACTGTGCCAGGCAGGAAGAAGTCAGGGAGTGATTGGACCAGGAGTGAGAAAGAGAAGCCATGAGACATCACTGTCATTTAACTCACTCTTCCTGCACTGGATCCAGGTCTGCATGGTGTGCATTCATTTCCTCGTTCAGCAAATATCTGTTAAAGTGCTGCTGCGCGCCAGGCACTGTGCCAGGCAGGAAGGAGTCAGGGAGTGATTGGACCAGGAGTGAGAAAGAGAAGCCATGAGACATCACTGTCATTTAACATATTTCTCGTTTAATCCTCAAACTAAGCCTGTGAGTTCCTATCTTTATACCCATTTTGTAGATAAGGAAACTGAGGAACAGAGAAGGTGGATATTAAGTCAGGGCTCGTAATGGCAGGAATTCAACCTAGACAATGTGATGCTAAAACTCGTGCTCCGAGCCCTTCTTTCATCTCTCAAAATTGAGTAATTCGGTCCTGATAATTCAGTGTTGAGTAATTTCTTTTTAATAATATTTTTTTAAATATATTTTATTGATTTTTTACAGAGAGGAAGGGAGAGAGATAGAGAGTTAGAAACATCGATGTGAGAGACATCGATCAGCTGCCTCCTGCACATCTCCTACCGGGGATGTGCCTGCAACCCAGGTACATGCCCTTGACCGGAATCGAACCCGGGACCCTTCAGTCCACAGGCCGACGCTCTATCCACTGAGCCAAACCGGTTTCGGCTTGAGTAATTTCTTTTTATGCATTTTTTTCAAAATCTTTCTGGTGCACCATCAGGTGGGTGTGGGTGCTATTTTGCGGTCATTCTGTAATAACCCTGCAGTTCTTGTCACATTTGCCCACAGAGATAAAAACTTCACTCTAAAGCCTGCAATGCTGCTATTAACGGTGTTGAGAATGCAAGTGGGTCTTCTGAGCAGGGTAACCAGGGAGTAGTAAGACTTCAAAGTAAACATGGACAGGGATGGAAAATGTCGAGTTCCCTCGCTTGTAGTTTTTGGCTTATTTATTTTCATTTTATGGGAACAGGCCTGTCAACTCTAAATGCATCTGGCTCTAACAGAGGAAAAGAAAGGAAAAGCAGGAAGTCCATTTTTGGCAACAATCCGGGCAGAATGAGCCCTGGGGAGACGGCATCACTTAACAAAACATCTGGAAAAAGTAAAGTCACCTTCTTTCGATACCTTTGCTTGATTCCGCATGCTGGATAAGTCCAACATTTACTGTCGAAGCACTTCCCTTGAACTTCTTTTTTTTTTTATTTCCATGAATGTTTATGTTATCTAAGTGTAGTAGAAATATTTTTCAATTTTACATGTTTAACTTCCTAAAAAATAGCACTTCACTGAAGATGTTCTAACAGTGTTTGCCTCAATAGGGAAAAATTGGAACCACCTTGGAACATTCTAGTGGTTCTTGGAACTGCTCTCGTCACCATTATAACTCCAGAAGATATATCCATTTTATTACTAATTACTTTTTATTATAAAAGTAATAAATTCTCATAGTTAAAAAAAACAACTCAAACAATATAGGGTACGATTAAAATTCCTTTCTATTCTCAATGGCTCAGTTCTAGTCCCCTGAGGTAACCACTGTTAGGTTTATTGTGTTTTGTTCAAGAAGAATAAGATTCTTTTTAAGATGATCCCAATGGGATACAACCGAGCATATTTGTATAACTTTTATATTGCTGTTACTTTCCAAACAGCTTTCTGAGCATATATCTACCTTACTCTCCTTATGCCTCTGTGGTTTTCCATTGTGTATATACTGTCATTTAACCACTTCCTCACTGGTAGAACATTTGGATTGCTTCCTGGTTTTTTTGTTGCTGTTTTTTCCTTATAACAAACGCTAAAGTGAATACCCTTGTGCATATATTGCCATGTATTGTTCAAATATATCCACAAGTCAGATGAGGCAAAGGATTTCCAGGCTTTTAACTTAAATTGGTGCTTCTGCATTCATTTTAAAACTCAATAGCTATCATTTTGTTTCAAGGTGGTGGACTAACTCAAGTATAGTATAACACTACTGTAGTGTAACTGAATAGTGTAACACTATTAAGATCTACTCTGACGTGTTACATGGTTATGATTGTTTTACCGAGATGTTGTTCAGGTTTATCTTTCTAAAACATTTAAAGTGTCCTGCACTAATCTGAGGCTAATCTTTTGGGGGGTTTAGGTTCCTATGAAGGAATGCGACAGGCCTGGGAGGAGTCTTCTTCCCCCCTCAGCCCAGCCACGTCCCTCAGCGCTATCATTAGAACTCCCAAATGTTACCATATCTCATCGCTGAATGAAAATGCCGCCAAACGTCTGTGTCGCAGGTATTCTCAGAAACTGATCCAGCACACCGCCTGTCAGCTGCTGAGGACTTACCCGGCTGCCACCCGCATCGACTCCTCCAACCCCAACCCCCTCATGTTCTGGCTGCACGGGATACAGCTCGTGGCACTCAACTACCAGACAGATGGTAACGGCTTGCTCCTCACCTCTCTCCTTCGGGTCTTGTGTTCCAGAAAACATAGTTCAACAAACAGCATTTTAGTTAAGAGGGGCAAGATGCCAGACTGGGGCACACCATATGTAAGAGCAAAAATACCGGTGCATTTGATACTGAATTGTGCCCTTGATGTTTCAGAGTTAAGGTGATAGGAAAGAACCTTAAAGGGGTCCCTAGTAATCTCTTGTTCTTGCTCCCTTTTTAAAGCATTTTTTAAACATAAGGCTACTCTTTTGTGTCTTTAAATAAGACAGTGTTTAGGGCCGTGTCTAGTTTGTTTCTAAAGACCTTTTGGGGCAGAGAGTTACTAACACCCTTTGGTAAGCTGTCTTGCTAAGCTATTCCTTGCAGTCAATAAGTAGTTGTCACTCCAAGCAAATTGCATGTTAGCTTCTTCTTATCCATTGAGATTGAAATGGAGAATAATGGTCATTGCTCCCAGAGTAGCTCACATGGAGAAAACAAGTGTGCAAACCAAGAAAGCAGTGTTTGTTTTTCTCACTGCTGAGGGAACTCTCTTAGCAGGAATACCTGATGAGGCCCGACGTCCGGAATAAGAGCTACCATTCTTTGCACACTTACCGTGCGACAGACACCATGCTGAATTTTCCTTGACCCCCTATTATCTGATTTAATCTTTGCACCAACCCTAAGTGGTGGACACCTTTATGATCCCCACTCCTCAGATGAGCAAACCAAGGCACAGAGCGATTGATTTGCTCAAGGTCACAGAATGACTAGTAATAATAAATTCAAGGACTCTGGGAGTGGAGAGGATAAAGTATTTTGTTTCTACTTGGTTATGGGGGCAGGAAGGGAGCTGCAGAAGATAAAGAAACAGTCGATGAGGAATGTTTCCTCGAAGCACCTTCAGAAGCCACAGTCTTTCCTTGGGACAGCCAAGCGGCCTTCTCATTCCTCTCACGTCACCTGAATCAGATCCTAAGCAACCGTGCTGACCCGCCAGCCACAGCATAACCCCGTCTCCAGCCAAGGTCAAACCACACCTTTCGCTCTCGAACCAGCTAGCCACCTGGTACTGGTGCCAACAGTGCCCATGTGTGGCTGACCCTGCCGACGCATTTTTTTTTTTTTGCCCTTGTTATATGTGCTTCTTTCCATTGAAATTAAATAACACGATGCAGGTGAAATACCCTACTTAGCATAGTGGCTGGCACAGAGAAAGCATTCCACAAACGTTAACGATGATGAAGTGTTTTTGATAAGTTATGAAAACAGTAGGATTTGGACTCGCAAGTGGAAATAATAATGAAATATTTTCAAAGTTGTAAAAGTTTCTTTTCAATCTGTCCCAAGTGGCTTGCGGGCTCACATCTCTGACCCTGTCTGTAGCCCTTCGGCGCCCTTGGTTATTATGATACTGAAATATTTTAAGTCCAGTGAAATCACTAGCAAGATGGTTTTCTCAAGGAAATGGAAATGCGTTTGGTTTTGGATGTGCCCGCTCTCCTGGGCGTGCCAAGGCTGGTGCAGACACACCGGCTCCACCGATGGCAGAGGGAGCCGCCGCCGAAAGGAGCTGCCCCTCCTGGCTCCCTCCACCACCACCCACCGCCCCCCGGTCCCGAAGCACACACTGAGGCTGCAGCTTGGCCTTCACTCACCCCTGAAGGCTTTGCCTCTCTCCCAAATCAATCTGGGAGCACATGTTCGAGCTGCCTCCTCAGGGGAGACAGATGGCTCTGTTGATGGTTCATCCCCAAGTTTCTCTACAGAGTCTTCCAGCCCAGGAGAGAGTGCTGCCATAACGCCTCGCTGGCCCAGTGCCGCAGGCAATGATTACACGCATCCCCACGCTGGACAGAGCACAAGCCACAGGCAGTTTCACCGTGTTCACCTGTGAAAATGGTCTTCATTTGCACAAACTGGGCATAGAGCCTGGCTAATATCTTGCACGCAGTAGGTGCTCAATAAATGCACGCTGAGCTGAAACAGACTATCCCCCTCCGCCCCACTGCAGTCTGAGCCTGTGGTTCTTGGGTTTTTAGGTACTTTTCTGTGGATTGCAAGTCCAAATAGATCAGAGTCTATTGGACTCATTATCTTTTAATTTTTACAAAGAATTCCTAGATTAGGGAGCGCTTGATTTTCCATGAAACATCCCAACCAAGTAACAGAGAACCCTCTCCCAGTGTCCCTCTAGCCTCCGACTGTGTTCCATGGATCATCGGCCTTGCCACTTCCTGGATGTCATAGGACCCTGATGCCCCAAAGGAGTGTCCACTGACTTAGGGTCATCTCTTCCCAGAATTTCTAATGGCTCCATCATCTTCAAGAAGGTCTGCGGTGATATGGAGCCAGGAATAGCCCAGGTCTGCACTCAAGGAAACCAACTCTTGAGTTTGGAAACTGACTTGAGCCTGGTATGCAAACCTGGTGATGGCTGGCAACAGTCCCTCAGCATTCTTTCCACCTAGAGCAGAACAAGTGTAAGGACATGCGACCCCATCAAAAGAAACGCTTCTGTTAATATGGATCCTGCTTTCCTGAGTGATTGTCAAACTCTTTATGATGACTTTTCTAGCCCCAAAGTATAGGCATCATTATTACGGGATTGGTGCCTACTTAATACAGGGTTTTTAAATAAATAGGAGACCATAAAGGTACTGATAAGTCTGATCTGCCTCACAGGCATTGATTGATAGGGGCAATCAGGTGACACAGATTCACGCACCCTCCTTCACTTGCTTACAACAGGGGTTTTACTAGTAAAACGATAGCCCCAGGTGGAGTCCTGGGACCATGCCTAGGGGGCAATTGGAGGTCTAGATTTGAGGTCCCACCTTTATTCCAAAATGAGCAGGTCCGCCTGCATTTGGTTTACCTGTTGGATTACTAAATGAGATTAGCCTTAGCTGGTTTGGCTCAGTGGATAGAGTGATGGCCCATGGACTGAAGGGTCCTGGGTTTGATTCCAGTCAAGGGCACGTACCTCGGTTGCAGTCTCCATCCGGCCCTGGTCCGGGCCTGTGCAGGCGGCAACCAATTGATGTGTCTCTCCTCTCACATCAATGTTTCTCTCTCTGTCTCTCCCCCTCCTTTCCATTCTCCCTTAAAAAAAAATCAACAGAAAAATATCCTTGGGTGAGAATTAACAACAGAAAAAGAAAAAGTTTGGGAAAGTACAAGGATAGACACAGACCTCCTAGGATCAGACTTCAAACCCAAATGGGAGTTGACATCATAATCATAATTTATTACCTACTATTTATTGAGATCTTCTATGTGCCGAATGCTCGGTAGAGACTTGCACACGTTTTCTCATTTATGACACGCCTGTGAGGTGTACACTATGCGGCTCAGTTGTTGAGATTGGATCAGGTTTCTGGGGTTTAAACCCCAGCATCCACCACTTGGTAACTGTGTGCCTTGGGTTCTTTCACTTCTTGTGCCTCAGTTTCCTCATCTATAAAATGGGAAGCACTGATGTACATAAAGTGCGTGGAATGGGGCCTGGTACACAGTAAGAGCACAGTAAGGGTGAGCTGCTATAATTTTTAGTAATATACAGTGGGGCCTTGACTTACAAGTGTCCCGACTAACGAGTTTTTTGAGATACCAGCTGTCTCTCGGCCGATTTTTTGCATTGAGTTGATAGAATAATTTGAGTTAACGAGCTCCTTAACGAGCTCGGTATCGGAACGAATTAAACTCATGAGTCAAGGCCTCACTGTATTTCCATTTCATATTCATCAACTCTGCATGAGCTAGCCTGCTTCGCTCTCTTAGCCATCCTAGCCCAGGTCTATGTTCCTCTGTCACAGGGTGGCCTGGGAAGAGAATTCTCTCGTCCTGCAGGCAAGACAGCCTCAACGAATCAGTCACATCAGGACTGAACGGGCCTGAGAGGTGGGGTCCAGGGCACTGATTTTATAGATAAGGAGACCGAGCCCACGTAGCTTTCCTATGCCTTAGACATCTGACCCCAAGGATTCCTGCCTACAGTCCCAGCCAACCCCACGTACACGGAAAAAATTTTACACACGAGACATGTGGAGGCCAACTTCTTATTGCTCCGTGGTGCTCACCACACTTTTCCTTGATGTCGGTCCATGTAGCACAGTTCGCTCTGCACATGGAAGGAATCTATCAGAGGGAACATTTGTCAGGTGTGCCTCATAAACCCTGTGTTCATCTGGGCAACCTTTCTACAGACTTGCGCCATCAGATGAGCATTTGTGTGTGTCAGAGCCCAAACCAGTGCGGGAGTCCAACGTTCATCCAAGAACCGTGCCAAGTAAAAGCTGGCCACAGACGACTGGAAGCCGTTGTGAGGGTTCCCAGGGTTTACGATGGAGGGGATGGATCATAGACATGATGTGAATCACATGTGATAATAATTTTTTTCATATTTAACTGCAATTAAAAAGAGGTAGAAGTACTGTAATTTATGGGTTGAAATTGAGATTTCATGGAAAGATATATTTTTCTGGCTCTTCTCCCAGTCTGTCTTGGATTATTAAGATTTTTATCTTATATTTGCAAAGGCAAGAATTGGTCATACAGTTGTCTGCATGGTTTAGTGTTCAGGGATAAGAAAATGCCATGACTATTCCTTACTAAAATTCTGTATAAAATGAGGTATTGCAAAGATTTTTTTTTTCAGATGGATGTTGTAAATTTTGATTTGCAAAAGGAGTTTTTAAGTGGCAGAACCTGGGTGGGAGTGAGACACTGGGCTTATCCCATAGACTGAACCCTGAAAAGACAGGGATCTTGGTCTTGTTACCTGTTGTATCTTTCGTACCTAACAACCTGGCACATAGTAGCCACTCAGTCAGTCCCTTCTTCATGCTTAAGCTTGGGGAAAATTGATACAAAGTTCTTTTGAACTTTACTTTTTTTTTAATACATTTTTTATTGTTGATAGCATCATAGATCTCTCCCATTTTTCCCCCCTTCACCCCACTCCTTCCCCCATGTCTTCACTACCCTATTGCCCATGTCCACGGGCTATGCATATAACATATAAGTTCTGACCTTGACATTCATAAGCGACAGAGTAACAAGCAATGTCAACTTTGTTTTGCAGATCTCCCTTTACATTTAAACGCTGCCATGTTTGAGGCCAACGGTGGCTGTGGCTATGTGTTGAAACCCCCAGTTCTGTGGGACAAGAACTGCCCCATGTATCAGAAGTTTTCTCCCCTGGAAAGAGACCTGGACAACATGGAGCCCGCCGTCTACTCTTTGACTGTAAGTGTGGCGCTGTCTCCAGGAGATGGCAAGGCGCTTCCGCCTTCCTGAATATGTGCTGGTTTTGAATTCAGGGCATTGCATAGTTCTCGTGTCACCGTTTTGTTTGTGCAGATTTAGTTCCCAGAAGGATTTCTTTACCTGTCACAAGCGGTGGCTGTGGCTGAGGTATGCTGTCGCCAGGCACTGCATTTGCCAGTGCCCAGTAGGTGGAGCTGTGAGTTCCCTGCTTCCCCTGCACGCTGATGGTGGTGATTCTGTCTTCCAGGGCCCGCAGCACCGTCATTCTGATTTTCTCCCATAAAAGTTGAGCTCCTTGTTAGAGCAGGTCATCTTAAACTCGAACAGGCTCTCGTAAGATCAAACGGGCATCAATATACAATTCAATTAAATATCTTTCCTCCTTGCAATTTAAACTGTATTGTTCCTGGGCCTTTCCTTATTGCTTTTATTGCCTAATTAACCCCATGTCAAAACACCACAGACTGCCCTTAACAACAGCCCCCGGCAGCTCATCATTCAACTTTATTTCCCCATTCTGTCGCTACCTCTTAGCGGACAGAGAACAAGACCTCTGGATGGCTAATCGCTGCCCTCCAACCTTAGAACTTGTCCGTTTCCCTCCAAAGGAAGAATGCCAAGCAGCCTCTGATCACCCCTCTCACACCCGGGAGAACCACGCTCCGGTTTTCCTACCACCTCTGCTGTCTCCTTCCGAAGACCAGGGCAGGGGGCCTCCTCTGTTTGACCAGATTAGCTAGACTCGAGGAGACGTTTAACTGTGTACAGAAGGCTGTGGATAAACTTTTAAAAACATTCCCTGTGACTTGCTGTAAAACTAAACCATTCAAGAAAATGGCTTTGAAGTTATAAAATATACACCTAAAACATCTTGAACAGAATGTTCGCAACCACTTTGTGATTGCATTCCGTAAAGTCTCCCCGTTTCCCTGTGCCTTCTTGCGAAACTTGATTTCATCTTAATTGCTTGGCTTTGAAGATACTTGAACATTTTGACAGTTGAAAAGTGACAGGTGAATGCTGGTGACAAAATAAGCTTTTCCCATGATTCCAGGCCTGTGGTTGCCTGGTTGCAATCACTTCCTGCTTTGGGCGGGGGGCGGGGAGGTTAGCAGATTTATTCACCATGGACCACCTCCATTCCAGAGTGTTCTTTGTGGAGGGAAGTGATGAGGTGCAGAGGTTGCCTTTGTTTCTTTTTCATCTTCAGTGACCTGGTCCTTGCTTCCTCCCTCAGATTGTCTCTGGCCAGAACGTGTGCCCGAGCAACAGCACAGGAAGCCCGTGCATCGAGGTCGACATCCTGGGCATGCCGCTGGACAGCTGCCACTTCCGCACGAAGCCCATCCACCGGAACACTCTGAACCCCATGTGGAACGAGCAGTTTTTCTTCCGGGTTCACTTTGAAGACCTCATATTTCTTCGTTTTGCAGTTGTGGAAAACAACAGCTCGGCGGTCACTGCTCAGAGGATCATCCCACTCAAGGCTCTAAAGCGAGGTAGAGTAGCATCATCAAGCTGTTAATAATTACTGTAGCCCAGCCCGCGTGGCTCAGTGGTTGAGCATCAACCTATGAACCAAAAGGCCACAGTTCGATTCTCGGTCAGGGCATATGCCTGGGTTGTGGGCTTGATCCCCAGTAGGGGATGTGCAGGAGGCAACCAATCACTGATTCTCTCTCATTGATGTTTCTATCTCTCCCTTCTTCTCTGAAATCCATAAAAATCTATAATAGCCCTGACCGGTTTGACTCAGTGGATAGAGCGTCGCCCTACGGGCTGAAGGGTCCCAGGTTCGATTCCGGCCAAGGGCATGTACCTTGGTTGCGGGCACATCCCCAGTCGGGGGTATGCAAGAGGCAGCGGATCGATGTTTCTCTCTCATCGATGTTTCTAACTCTTATCCCCTTCCCTTCCTCTCTGTGAAAAATCAATAAAATATATTTTTTAAAAAATTTTTTTAAATCTATAATAATAAAAGCATAATATGCTAACTAGACCGGACAGCCAAACGACCTTCCGGATGAAGACACCGCAGCAGGGGCTGAGGCAGAGGTGGTTAGGGGCAATCAGGCAGGCAGGCAGAGTGGATGGGGCGATCAGGCAGGCAGGTAAGCAGTTAGGGCAATCAGGCAGGCAGGCGAGTGGTTAGGGTGATCAGGCAAGCAGGTGAGCAGTTAGGGGTGATCAGGCAGGCAGGCAGAGGCAGTTAGGGATGATCAGGCAGGCAGACAGGCAAGCGGTTAGGGGCAATCAGGCAGGCAGGCGAGTGGTTAGGGGTGATCAGGCAGGCAGGCAGAGTGGTTAGGAGTCAGCAGTTCCAGATTGCGAGAGGGATGTCCAACTGCGGGATTAGGCCTAAACTGGCAGTCGGACATCCTCCGAGCTGTCCCGGATTGCGAGAGGGTACAGACTGGGCTGAGGGTCTCCCCTGACTCCTGTGCACGAATTTCATGCACTGGGCCTCTAGTATATTATAAAAATAAAAAATAATTACTGTAGCTCAGTGATGGATGTCATAGAGCTCTTTAGACTGTTCTCTCTACTTTTGAGTGTATGTTTGAGATTTTCGTTTTTAAAAAGTTGAAATAAGAGGCAGGAAAAAAACACAAATTTGAATACTGTTTAAGTACATCTCATAACAGGCTTTCTTTTACATTATCCTCAAATTCGAGGTATTCACATTTCTGAGGAAGTATGGCCTCTACCGCCGTTGCTGATGTCGAGAGCTGTGGTGGTTGGCCCTTCTCCCCTCACATCCCTGCCCAAATAGCATCCACTGCACCCCTGGCACTTTTTTTTTTTTTTTAGTAAAGATAACCACTTTTTTTTTTTTTATCCTCACCCAATGATATGTTTATTGATTTGAGAGAGAGAGGAAGGGAGAGGAACATTGATGTGAGAGAGAAATATACATCAATCAGTTGCCATACGTGCCCCAACCACACCCTGATGGGAGATGGAATCTGCAACCTGTTGGTGCACAGGACGAGCTCCAATCAACTGAGCCACCGTACCAGGCCCCCCTAGCGCTTTCCAAGCTGAGACTGAAGTGAGCAGAGGAAACCAAGAGGAGGGCGGTAGAGGTAGTGGCTCACTGGCCGAGAGTGGAATCAGTGCCTGGCAGAAGTTCAGTGTCGGAAGCCAGGGATGGGTGCAGGGAGGATGGAGAACCCTGAGCAGAGGCGGAGCTGGTGGCTGGTGGACTGGCTTTGCTGTGGGCCTCCGGGGAGCTTCTGCGGCCGCAGCGGTTGTTCCACTTATTTATGCATTCATTGGTTGATTCTTGCATGTGCCCTGACCAGGAATCGAACCCGCAACCTTGGAGGATCGGGACTACGCTCTAACCAACTGAGCTACCCAGCCAGGGCCTCTGCCTACCGTTTTGCGGCAGAGCTCCGCAGTGCATGGCTAACAGGCTTTTCCCAATTCTGCGTTATTCCAGGATATCGACATCTTCAGCTGCGAAACCTCCACAATGAAGTCTTGGAAATCTCTAGTTTATTCGTAAACAGCAGAAGGATGGAAGAAATCTCCTCTGGCAGTTCCGTGCCGGCCTCTTTGGTAATTAAGCTCTGTTTCACTCAGCATGTCTGTGGGGATTGCTGTGCTGGGGGTAGGCTTGCTCATGATACAGGAAGGTGATCATTAGGTAGCTATGGGAATAATAATAATGGCTGGCATTGGCATGTCTAAGCACTTTACATATATGAATTCACCTAATCCTCTCAATACTTTTTTATGAAAGAGCTTTGAGTATGGTCTCTGTTTTACAGATGAGGAAGGTAAGAGCTAAGTACCTCGGAGGTCACACAGAGCTATAAACCCAAGTTCACCTAGTGCTAAAGCCCATACTCTTTTTGTTTTTTTGTGTTTGTTTTTTTAATATGTTTTTATTGATTCTTAGAGTGGAAGAGAGAGGGAAAGAGAGATAGAAACATTAATGAGAGAGACATCAATCTGCTACCTCCTGCATGCCCCTTACTAGGGATCAAGCCTGCAACTTGGGCATGTGCCCCTGACCAGGAATTGAACCCAGGACCTCTTGGTCCATGGGACGATGCTCAATCCATTGAGCTACAGCAGCCAAAGCCCATACTCTTAATATGAGCCGAAAATAACATGTGGGCAAGAAGTTAATTAAGCAAACCTGCTAGGGAGCATTCAGTTCTCTTAGAAATTTTAGGTTAGACCAGGAAAATCTTCTGCTTCTTCAGTGGTCCAGGGGTGGGTGCCAGGTGAGCAGGTTTGGGGTGGCAGCCAGGTGCTGCTGTTGATACATAACTGCCCCCTGGCAATTGGGGAGATACGGAATCTGCACTCGTGGGGATGAGAAGGGTACACTGCAAACAAAAGGTGCCATCACTGCAGAATCAGCATTTTAACAAGTTCCCCAGGTAAGGTTCTTGCCCATTGAGGTTCGAGAGCCATAGGACTTGCGCTCACTCCAATAATCCAGGGTTGATGACTAAACCAGTGACCCCGCTTTAATAAACTGGTTCATTCCATTATGCTTGCTCTTTAAAAAGTAGTTTAAAGGCTGTTCATCGATTCCCTCTTTACACACTAACAGCCTGATCACTGTCATATCCACCTTACACTTAAACGTAGTCCTAACAACCCCTGGAAAGGCACCTTCTATGCTCACGGTGGCACTGACTTCACCACCACCGCTGCCACCATCAGTTAGCCGGGCTTTCTTCTCCGTTTCTCTTTCCCTCCCCTCATTAGTTTCTTCTCTCTCTGTCTCTGACCTTGTTTCCCTAGCTTCTCCTCCTTTTCCCTTCAGTGTGTGGCCAAGGTTAAAAACAGCACTTTGGCCAAAGTGGAGGGAGGTATTGCCTGCCTTGTGCAGAGGACTGGGAACCAGGGACTGGGCTGCCTGGCACCTAAGAGCCAGAACCAGATGCTTTCAGAAGGCAAGGCAGGGCTTCCTGCACAATCCCGGGTTGGTCACCCTCAGTACCTATCAGAGCTGCAGATGCCACACGTGCCATGAAAGAGCCGTTTTTCCTCACAATACTTCTGCTGACACCAAATGTGTCGTGTCTTTTCCAGCGTTGCTTCTCCAACTCCCCGGCACCAGCTGGCTGACCTAGCTTTTGGTTCAATGCTGACACTATCTACCTGGAGTCAGCATCAGACCCTACAAGTTAAGGGCTCAGTCCTACAACGCTACCCACATTTCAGATGCCAGTTGCAAGTCCCTCCTCCGGTTCCGTAATTTGCTCAAATGACTCTCGCAGAACTTAGGAAAGTGCTTTACTTACTAGAATATTTTATTTATCATCTTACCATCCAAAATTCTAGTCCAGCGCCCTCAAGAGAGATGGAACTCAATAACACTGTTGGATGTCAGTTCAGAAATAAGGACTAATGTACATTTTAGATGATATCAGTTCCATACTTATGATGGAAAGAGATAGTGTTTTGTGAAATAAATTAATAGTTTGGTGGTGTGCTGCTACACATCCTCACTAGACTATTAAAGAAGACACACCATCGCTTCTTCAACCACAAAACGATGGGTCAGGGTGTGAGGGATGCTAGAATGGCTCTGTATTGACATGTCCCTGTAAACACCTCTAAGAATGAGCACCTCAGTGGTGAATATAGCCTAGAATTTGCATCCGAATGAGAATGAATGAGAAACCATGTGATCTTCCTTGACAGATGTTTAGTACAGAAGAAAGAAAATGTTTGCAGACTCACAGAGTCACGGTGCATGGCGTCCCAGGTCCGGAGCCCTTCACTGTTTTCTCTATAAATGGAGGCACCAAGGCAAAGCAACTTCTCCAGCAAGTAAGTGCACTGAGTCTGCGTGTGTGTGTGACTACATACATACAAATACACAAAAGTCCACGTTGACGATTTGCCTTTTGATTATTTGTGATATCCAACCTCGAGATCCACCCTACAGGTGACCCGAGAGGTCTCGGTACCTCTAAACAAGCTACCTAACCTGTAGAGAAGAATTTCTAAGACTTCTTCAGCCACATACAGAACACGGCACTAGAAGGATAAAGACCAGGATGAGTGGCTCTCCAACCTTGTGTACTGTTTCCCTCTGAACCTAGATTCAGGCCTCATAGTCCCTCTTAATGCAGAGCTTACTAATCAACCAGAATTTACACACGAACTGAATGAAGTCGCTTGTCATTCTAGGAGTTGGGTCAAATTCTGAGAGCATCAGGATGGACCATATAGGCCAAGACATCTTCTGCCCCTCTAGCCTCAGGCCTCCATTTGCATGTTGATCAGCCACCTTGTCCCCCTCCCCCTGCACTCGATCATGACTTTTAAAGTTATACCCCTCTAGTGGTACGAAGAGGCACGCAGGTCCCAAAACAAGAGGATGAGAGCCTGTTAACCCAACCCCCATAGCAGAACTGGCCTAAGTCCCCTCGTGTTGGGCTTCTGCCCTGGGTCCCTGGAGATCTTGGTGGCCTTCTGCCGGCAGAGACAGTGCCCCTCAGGAGGACTTGTAAGAGGGAGAGAGCCAGACACAAAGAGCAGCATCCGGAGAGGGAGGCAGCCCCTCAAAAGAGCAAGGCAGGCCCATGTGCAATTCCTGCTCTCTTCTCACTAGGAGTGCCACTCCTGTGTGGTACAGTAGCCTAGTATCCTTGCAGACTATTTCATCCTTAGCCCATTTCAGAATCCCTTCTTCTCCTTGGAGGTAGGCCGAGGGGAGCTGCAACCGAGGGACCAACTGTGGAGCCCCCTCTGAAGTTAGGGCATATGACGCACTGCCCCTGCGATCATGGAAGGGTTGGGGGTTAAAAACCCATTGATGAACCACACATACTAAGTGTTAATAAGTAGTTCTGTCCTTTGAGGGGTAGTCTCTATGGACAGGCCAACTTTCCCCCAAGATCTTATAACTGACTTAGACTCAGAGAAAACAGCTCCCGTGTCAAATGTCATAGACTAACAGAAACTACTCCCAAGTTGGGGTTGTTTTGGGATTTTTGTTTTTTAAATCAATCAGTCTATGAACTTTAGTGTCTGCTATCTCAAAGCACTGTTGGGGTTTGGGGGACTCTATAAAATATGAAGTTATAAAGCAAGGAGACATTTCCATGGACCACCCATAAAAAGCAGCCCATTACTTCGTTGCCACCTCATATAAAGCAGCACTGAGGAGGGAGGGACTGCTCCCGGCTCCTAGGAGCCTTGCGTGTTGTTGCCTTGCCCGCGTGGAATCCAGAGCCCAGCACCCGTTCCCAACCAAGGGCTCGGGGGAAGGGAACAGCCTTCCTGAGACTCTCCTGTCCCCTCCATCCTCAGTTCGTTCTTTTCCTCCAAGTGAGACGCAGCAGCAACAGGTGTTGAGGAGAAAGGTGTGGACTTCACCAGGCCAGATGATGGCAGCCTTCTCTTGGCACCCACTTTGCCTTTAGCCTTTTGTCAGGAACCTGTACGATGTGAGTGTGAAAGGGCACATCAGCAAGAGGAACTGCAGTGATGGCTCAAGGCTATTGAGTTCTCATGCTGTGCCCACGCTCTGCTTTATAAACAGTGTCTCGATCATACAACAAATCATAAAATTAAGAGGTTGTACTGTGGAAGCAGAAAAATAATTTTCCTCCCACCTCCTAAGTTCTCCTGGCTGGACCTATAATCAAATTAACATAAGACCGATTAGCAGGAGAAAATAACCAATCTATCACGTATGTACACACGGGGGTTCTATAAGAATATGAGACCAGAGGACAGAGGGGACTGTGAGGTTTATATGCCATCGTGAGCTAAGGAGAAGGTGGGTTGAAGTTTGGGACTTCAAAGGGCAGGAGGGCAATCCACATGGAGATGGAAAAGCCAGAGTTTGATAGAGAAATGTTTGCTGGGCCATCTTTACCAATGGGACACAGAGAGGACATTGGATCCATGGGCCTTGCTGGGCTTCTCCCCATCACCTAGTTCACATAAACTGTAGTTATCTACGATGATACCTCCCTCCTGGAGCACATCCTCTATCTACATTCTCTTAGGCAGGAAGGGGGAAGGTTGAAGGGTCTCTCTGAGTCTTTTTTTTCTTCTTCTTCTTGAAAATAACCAGTCTAAAATAATCAGTGTCCCAAAAGTCATGTTTGGGGGAGGCACATTCTGCTTCCCCTCAGTACTCTTCCTGTTCCCCCTTTATAGAGGGGGAACTGAATCTCCAACAGGTTAACTATCCTGCCCAACACCTCGCAGCCAGTAGGTATTGAAGGCGGGCCTCGGACGCAGTCTGCCTGGCTCCCCAGCCTTGTCGCGGTCACGCTGTTTGACTGCCCGGGTCAGTAGCCAACAAAGAAAACGGGCCTCTAGACACACAGTTAAGACTTCATTGGAAGGAGAATTCCCAGGAACTTGGGTCAGAATAGAGTCAGCAACGGTGGAGAGATAGTTATCGGTAAAAGCTGGACTGGGTTCCTTATCCTCTTGGTCCTGTGTTGCAAGATCACAAAGAGGTAAGTTCGTAGATTTACAAACCTACAGTTTTTCATTCGGTAGGAGCTCTCACTCCAGCAAGCGGGAAAAACAGTTACACTGTCTGGGGATGATGAGTACATTGTGTTGTTGCCCAGAATGCACATAAACAATTCTTTTTGGACTTAAGAGAATTCTTAGACCTTCCAAAGAGAATTATGCAACACTCCAGAGTAGGTTTCGCTTATAAATTACACATCAAAGCTCCCTGGGCTCCATGAAAACAGGCTTGTTTTGAATTACCGTTTTTGCGAAAAGTGCCTTTGCTTTATCTTTAGATTCTGACCACTGAGCAAGACACCAAACCTATTGCCGCAGACTACTTTTTGATGGAAGAAAAATATTTTATATCTAAAGAAAAGAATGAATGCAGAAAACAGCCGTTCCAGAGGGCCATTGGTCCCGAGGAAGAGATCGTGCAGATTTTAAGCAGCTGGTTTCCAGAAGAGGGCTATGTTGGCAGGATTGTCTTAAAAACCCAGCAGGAAGTAAGTGTGTCTGAGTGCAGCCTACACGGTAACAGCTCTGTGTGTAATTCACCACCCGCCACTCCCTCAAAATCAGAATTTCTTCCAATTCCCACTTGATTTCTATTCTTCTGCAGTGTATGTGGAGAAATGATTTTATTCTTTTGCACATCTTCAGAATGTTATCTCTAAGTTACAGAAATTCAGCCTAAAGGTCATCCCTTCTAAAACAAAACGAGCAAGAACTCAGTGGATTCCTTATGCATGTCATCAGCTGTTTCGTCAGCTTTTTTATTTGTATGTGTGAGAAGACATTGTCGTGAGGGTGACAGAACTGGGTAATTCGAGGCCTGTAGGCATTGTTGTGCATTTTGGGGTTGGTTGTGTTCCTATTAGTGCCTATTAAAGTTGTAGCTAATAAATGGCTCAGCACTTATAACTAAAACAACAGTATTTTTTTAAAAAAATATTCTGTAACTTCACATAAAGTAAGAATAATTTCTCAGCTTTGATCAGAACTCGTACTAAATATCGTTATGTTCGCTGATACTCCCGTGATAGCTCCCGAGAAGGAAACAGCACAGCACCAACTCCAGACTGGTTGGCTCCTGCTGGGGTTTGTTGATGAAGCCCTTTTTTTTTTTTCTGAATAAACCGATAGAAGCCCAGTAACTTCCTGCCCAGTGCACAAAATTCGTGCACAGGTAGGGTCCCTAGGCCTGGCTGGCAATCAGGGTCGATCAGGGCCTTCCTTCCTTTCGTGCCGCCCCCTGGTGGTCAGCACACATCATAGCGAGCAATCAAACTCCTGGTCTCCCAGTCGAACTCCCAAGGGGACACTTTGCAAATTAGCCTTTTATATATATAGATGTCATGTGAAATACCACCTACCCCCACTCTCCAATTGGTTAGATATATCATAATCAATGCCATCACATATCATGCAGCAAAATCTCTAGGAATTAACAAAATGTAATGGCCACAATCTTTGAAGTGGAGGAAAAGAGTGGTAGAACAGTATATGTAGTAAAGTACAATCTCATTTTAGGTAGTAAACATAGACAATAACTCTCCCCCACCAGCCCTTAATAGAATGAATGGAGTCCAAAAACTTCAGTCATGTAAATTCCATGACTGCAAGGTTAATGCAATGATTGGGGCAAGCCTGTGTGGGTGGGTGGCAAATCCTTTCTGGTCCTGGCTACAGTTTGGCGCCATCTGGTGGCAGTTACCCATTTGATTTTAATATTCATGGGGACAGTTCTGGGTCCTGTGTGACAGTGGTCTTGGGTTCTGGCCAGTTAGCACCATTTCAGTGGCCTGGTCTGAGGAGATTAGGCTTGGAGAGCGCTGGGGGTCGGGGACCTCCCTGCAGATCCTCCCTCCCTGAGGTGGGTTGCCTACTGTTTTCTTGCTTTGCCTCGCCTCCCCTCCCTGCCGCTCCTGCAGAAGATAAGTATAAACTACCCTCTTTGTTAGTGGGACTAACAAAGAACAGGAGTCATTTGACAATCATATTATATTTAAATTAACATAATTCCAGGGTTTCCTTGTATCTGTCTATTCACATATACAAAAATACATCTATATAACCATAGCAGATGTTTAGAACATATGACCTAACAACAGTGGGTTTTTGTGTTTTTTGTGGAGAATGAGATGGGAGAGAGAAGGAAAAAGGGTGACAGTGGGAAAAGTTTGCCTTTTTATCTCTGTGTTTCTGTACTATAGATGTAGCTAACTATAAAGGTAATATATATAATTATATATGTAAAATTCACTGGAAGCCAATTCAACAAAAGCCAATCAACCCGATAACTAATTATCATGAGTATTTAGTATTTTGTTGATGTTCATTTCTTTTTTTTAAGAGATCAAATCCTAATTTTTATTTTATTATATTTTTAAATTTTATTTTTTAATTGCAGTTTACTTTCAATGTTATTTTGTATTACTTTCAGGTGTGCAGCATAGTTGTTAGACTATTGTATACTTTACAGAGTGTCGATATTCATTTCAGTGTGACTTACCTCCGGCCATCATTTCCACCTTTCACTCTGGATTTTGTTCATTTAAGCTGAATGTCAGTTTCAGGCTTCACATTGTAGATATCTAGCATTTCTTAAATGCTCAAGTTCTATGTGAGATTGGGGGATGGGGGGCTTTCTCTTAAATGTAATTTGCTGTGTTCTTATTTGGCTTTTGGTAATTGGCAAAATGGTATATTGTCTTTTTACAAACTTACCTACAGTTGACTTGTGCTCATAATCCACAGCTGATAGCAGATCTACTAGCTTGTTCTGGGCCAGACCTTATCAGTCTGTCTGTATCAGCAGAAACAGTATTGTTTTTGTCTAAGACATGTATGTCCTTCTAGAATAACTTATGAAATGTTAACTAACATATAAACTAGGAAGCTAAGAAGTTATTTCCACATTACCAAGATGCATTTCACATTTTTGTTTGATGTTTCTTTCCTTACTCTACATCATCTCGCCACTTACTCACTCTTTTCTTCTCTTTTAATATAGAACCTGGAAGAGAAAAGCATTGTTCAAGATGACAGAGAGGTGATCTTGAGCTCGGAGGAGGAGAGTTTCTTTGTCCAAGTGCACGACGTTTCTCCAGAGCAGCCGCGGACAGTCATCAAAGCGCCGCGCGTCAGCACCGCACAGGACGTCATTCAGCAGGTGGGAGCCCTCCCTCACCTCAGTCCTGTCCTCCGTGTACATTATTGGGACAAGTCAGATGCCAGCCCATTCTATTTATGAAGTTTCTAGACCAGTGGGGACCTACAAAGGGAAAGTGGGAAATAATAGTTTATTCCTTCAACAGATAACTTACCTAGTATCCACATGAGTCAGGCCCCGGGTGAAGCACTGGTGAAAATGTTGTAGGACATGGCTCTGCAGAGTAGTCATTTCATTGTCCCAGAAATGCCTAAGCCAATACCGAATGGCCATCTTCAGAGGGCAAGCAGAAGGCCTACTCTGACCCTCTCCCACCTCTAGGTCCTGCTTCCCTGTGTCCATGGTTTCACAAACTGTGTTTCCTTCCTTCAAAGCCTTATCATGGTTTGCATTCGTCAAACACCCTTGAGAAGTAGGGTAGTATAATGGTGGACGGCACAGACTCTGGGTTAAAAGGCTCAAGGTTCCAATCCCAGCTCTACCTCTTACTAGCTCTGAGACCTTGGGCAAGTTATTTAACCATCTGTGCCTTTTTTATTGATTTTTTACAGAGAGGAAGGGAGAGAGATAGAGAGTTAGAAACATCGATGAGAGAGAAACATCGATCAGCTGCCTCCTGCACACTCCCTACTGGAGATGTGCCCGCAACCAAGGTACATGCCCCTGACCGGAATCGAACCTGGGACCCTTCAGTCCACAGGCCGATGCTCCATCCACTGAGCCAAACCGGCTACGGCCTTGAGCAAGTTATTTAACCATCTGTGCCTTAGTTACAGTGGTATGCTTAAAAAAGACACTCTGATTTGTAGCATTTGTTGATTTCTGTTGTATAAAAGCTCCCACCATGTCTGAGTTTACTAGCCTATTCCATTTGGCTCCCACATACCAGCATGTGGTAAGTTACCACTTAGATAACATGGTGATAGCATAATAGTATTTTGCTCACGGAGTTGTTGTGAAGATTAAGTCAGTAATATATGTAAACTGTACAATGTCTAGCACATGGTAAGCACGATTTAAGTGCTACTCACTATTATTGCATGGTGATTTGGTTGGTATAGACTTTGAACTTAGCTTCTTTTGTTGACCTTTGTGCCCCCAAAGTATCTGGGACATAGTAGGCCCTCACTAAACATTTGATGACTGAATAAATGCATAAATGAAAGATAATCTTGCACGAAATGAGAAGTGAGGCCAGCTAAGTTCTAAAATGCCTTAACATCCAAGATTCTGTGGTGAAGAGGCAGTCCAGTGGGACAGGGAGTCGTCTGAGGGTCAGGGGTCTGTCCCTCACTGTCGCATGACCTTCATGTCTATGAGCTTTGGTTTCATGCACACAATCTGTTTCCAGTATTTATTCTATTGCTTCTTTGCTTCTCATCCTCTGGAATCTGCATAAGTTCCTCATCTGAAAGGGGGGATAATAATGACTAAACATGGAGTGTTGTGAAGCTAAACCATAATGTGGGAAAGCATGTCATAAGCCACAACCATACAAATGGAAAGTGAGGAGTAGGATAACATGATCTGAAAGATCCCCATCGTCTCTAAAAGCCTGTGATTGTCTGCCACCTTCGAGTTTCATTTATAATGAATGCAGGAGTTGGAGACACTGTCTTTATCCAGTTGATTGTAACTTATCTTTCAGACCTTATGCAAAGCCAAGTACTCCTACAGCATCCTGAGCAACCCCAACCCGAACGACTACGTACTTTTGGAAGAGGTGGTGAAAGACACAGCCAACAAGAAGTCTTCTACCCCCAAGCCCTCCCAGCGGGTCCTTTTGGATCAGGAGTGTGTGTTTCAAGCCCAAAGCAAGTGGAAAGGTGCAGGAAAATTCATCCTTAAGCTAAAGGAGCAAGTGCAGGTAAACTTCAAGGTTATTTTACTCTCTTCACCAGTTATTTGATATTCATAACTAATTTGTAATCAAATTTGGGAGATAGTGAAATCTAGGAGAAAGTCAAGAAATTTACGGGGAGAAGATTGTTTGGCTTTGTTTTCACTGCGGGAAACGTGTTCCCCTCTGTGGTTAAGCAACCCTGAGAGGGAAGGCCCTGTCATAGACAGGGAAGCGAAGGGGGCCCTTTCTGATATACTGCTCCCTGATTGAGGATGCCGGCTTTAACTTAATACCAATGGAGAGTTCTTTCTTCCCATAGGCATCCAGAGAAGACAAGAGAAAAGGCATTTCTTTTGCAAGTGAATTCAAGAAGTTCACCAAGTCAACTAAACAGCCCCGAGGACTCACATTACCTTCTCAGGTCTTGGTTTCGGAAAGTGTCCAAAACAAAGAGGAGAGACCTGTGGGTGGCAGCGACACGATGGACTATCGACAGTGACCATGGGCAGCATGTTTAACCAGGTACACTACGTCTTTGCACCATTCTGAACCAGAGGCCCACTTACACTACTTTGTAAGGCATAATTTGCACAGTATCTTTTATCTTTCCCAAATGGAGGTGTCCCCTGTGGGAGGGAGGAATGGTACCACAGGAGGAAAAGGGCTCTGAAGATATAGTACCTTCAGAAGTTATCATTGTAGACCTCCTTTAATATAAAATATATATAATTGATTTCGGAGAGGAAGGGAGGAGAGATAGAAACATCAATGAGAGAGACACATTGATTGGCTGCCTCCTGCACGCCTGCTACTGGGGATCGAGCCTGCAACTCAGGCATGTGCCCTGACCAGGAATCAAACCTGGGACCTCTTGGTCCATGGGACGACACTCAATCCACTGAGCTACACCAGCCGGGCAGACCTTATTTTATATAGAACTCAACAAAGGATCTAAGAGGACAACCAATTTTCCCAAACTACATCAGCCATATTTCATCAGACATAGAATTGTTTTGATTATTGGTCACTCAAACACTCTTGAGGGGCTGCTGTGAGTCATCCAGCTTTCCTTCCTTTGGCTGTCTAGTTTTATGTTATTCTAATTGAGGTTTGATTTGACCTCAACAAACTCAACTTCTTCTGCCTCATTTAAAAACTTAAACTCTGGCATTCGGGTTGTGATGATTAAAAAGAAAGCAAAATAACGTAACAGGCTCCATCTTGCAACAGCAGTAAATTACACCCTCAATTGCCAGCTCCCTGTGTGGTATTCACATGCAGAGTACATTTGATTTAAATTATTTATATGGAACCTGAATTTTTTTTAAAAAAGAAGCATATGAGGAAACCAAACACAGATCTCTTAACTTAGTTTCCTGATGAACCGAAGGGATTGTCAAAGTGCACTGTTCACCTGTTGGGTTGTGGTTCTCAGAGTTAAAATTCACCAGAGATCACATGAAGGCGCTGCTGCTTGTACCGCAAGGCTCCCTCGCCCGTCTCCATCACAATCAGGACCTTCTTATATTAAACTGTAGGCGCTCACAGTTGGCCTCTCTAGGCAAGGCCAACTTTGATGTGTAACAGCCCAAAAGAAAGCCTGACACAGAGAGCCCACGTTTCTACATTCAAGGACCAACTCCTACAATAACTGGTGCCTCATACCACTTACAAAGCTCTTTCAAAATCACAGACAAGGCCAAATACAGGAAACCTCTTCCTCCAGAGTATCTGCCTACCCCGCTATTCCCAGGGAGTCAGGATTGTTGCGGTTAAGCAAAGACTCATTGGGAAGAAATCTCAGAAGGATGGCAGCAATCCGTATCACATAGCGTCAGATAACGGCGGATGTGCACAGAACAGTAAAGCTCTGGGCTGTCCCATTTCCTGTTGAGATACAGTTGGTATCCCAATTGTTTAAAAGTTCCGGACTCACTTCCTTTTCTGTCATAACCAGCGCCTTCTCCAAAAGCCAAGTGAGCTTTAGGATTAAAGCACCGGTGTTGAACCTCCCCAGCTTTTAGGAAGTGACTCACTGTGGTAGTGGGTCTTTGAGCAGGCCCTAAGGACAGATCAAAATTTAAAATACTGGGCCCTGGCCGGTTGCTCGGTTGGTCGTGATGCACCAAGGTTGTGGGTTTGATCCTTTGTCAGGGCACACACAAGAATCAACCAGTGAATGCATAAATAAGTAGAACAAAAACTCTCTCTCTCCCTCCCTCCCTCCCTTCCTCTTTCTCTCTCTCTCTCTCTAAAAATAAATCAATAAAAATTTTATACTGTTTTCTGTATATCAAGAAGTTAGCAACAAATAAATCATAGGTGTGATGTTATACTCTCTATTATAACCTCCGTAACAATACAGCAAAATTACACTCTGCACATAAAGAGCCCTCGTGCTACAAGATTACATTAAGTACCTAAGAATACAACTCCACTAGAAATTTGACTTAAAAATGACATGCATGGCCTATCAATGATTCTCTATCATTGATGTTTCTATCTCTCTCTCCCTCTTCCTTCCTCTCTGAAATCAATAAAAAATATATATATTTTAAAAATGACATGCTTGTATCCTAGCAGGTTTGGCTCAGTGGATAGAGCCCCAGCCTGCGGACCAAGGGGTCCCAGGTTCAATTCTGGTCAAGGGTAGGTACCTCGGTTTGCAGGCTCCTCCCCGGCCCAGGCCCTGGTTGGGGTATGGGCAGGAGGCAACCAACTGATGTGTTTCACATCGATATTTCTCTCTGTCTTTCCCTTTCTCTTCCACTGTCTCTAAATATCAATCAAAAAATATTCTCAGGTGAGGATTTAAAAAAAATGATGTGCTTGCTATAATGAGCATTACTGATTGCTCCTATTTGAGGAGAGTAGGGAGGTTGGTGGTTTAGATAAATGTCTTCGGGCTCAGTTTTCAGCAGACATTCAGAATCATTCAGTTGACTGCAGCTTTACTTGAACTTGGGGAAGCTTCTCTTTAAAACCTGCCATCCGTGCACCTCTGGGAATCTATATCCCACGTCATGAGCTCCTTTATGAATGGTGCTTCCGAGCAAGAGCACTTGGAAAAAGAAAGGGCCTTTCTGTCTGTTCTCATCAGAAAACAAGCTTCGTATTTTCAATGCATTCTGCTGACGTATTTCACGTTTGTTCTAAAATTTTCCTCTCTCAAGTGTCAAGAGTTCCCCCTTAATAAATATTCTGAGAATTTTTAAACGAGTAATTATTTACCTACTCTTATCCGAATAAATACCGTTGTTGAAGGAATTCCACCTTTTAAAAAAAGTTGAACAGTTTGTGATTTAAAAAAAAAAAGAAAGAAAAATCTTTCTGAAGAATGTGGTGTTCTGGGACAGAAAAAGCCTCATGGTCCACCTCCTGGGGACATCATGTTATAACACTGAGTGTATCAGACGTAGTCTGTCCCCCAAACACAGCCACCAGAGCTGTGGGTTTCTGTTGAACACTACACGCTTGCTGCACTGTAAATGCTTCTGCTCCTCCGTTCACAATATACTAACTAGCCTATGGATGCAACTTCACAGGTGAAGACCTTTTGGCAAGAAGTTAAAGTCAAGAATGAGCGTGGTGGAAAAATACATATTTTCCTTGCTTTCATTCAACTTAAACTGGAAACTGATGATTTCTGGACCGAAGCTTTCATCACACACGATGTGAGGTCTACACGGAGGACAAGCGAAATGGCACAGGGCTAGCTACCAACCATTTTCCTGATGAATGAAGCAAAGAAGCCCAGGAGATTGTCCTTTTATAAATGTCAACAGTTGTTAAAAAGGAAAAAAAAAAAAGAAAGAAACATGACTAAGCTTGCAATAACTGACTTAGAACAGGGGTCAGCAAACTTTATCTGCAAAGGGCCAGATACTGAATATGTTGAGCTTTATGGGCCATATGGTCTCTGTTGCAACAACTTAGCTTGGCTGAAATCATGCAAAAGCAGCCGTAGGCAATACATCCATGAATGAGGGTGGCTGGGCTCCAATAATACTATTTACAGACACTGAAATGAATTCCATATAATTTCATACGTCACAAATGTTCCTCTTTTGTCTTTTCTCAATCACTTAAAAGTGTAAAAACTATTCAAGAGCCATAAACAGGTGGCAGGCTGGATTTGGCCCCAGGACATAGTTTGCTGAACTTGGAAAACTGGGAACAAGGGGTCAAGAGCCATAAACAGGTGGCAGGCTGGATTTGGCCCCAGGACATAGTTTGCTGAACTTGGAAAACTGGGAACAAGGGGTCTGAAGACAAGCAAGCTAGTTTAGTCATGCATTTTATGCCTGAGAATCGGAAGCTTGGGGGCATTGCAAATGTAAATATGTCCTATAAGATTCATTAAAGAGGAATTCAATTTAGTTTCCATATTTTGTACCATAATGTACTCTTCTTTAGGATTGCTTTTTACAAATAGAATGATGTTGGGTTTTTAAAAAAGTTTATTGCTTGTATATTCACAAATTATTCCACTTTTGGTTTTCACAGAATTTATTTAGAATGATGTGTAATTTAATATCTACTGAGTTGTGACATCTTATCAAGAAACTTAACCATTTTTTAAAGCAAAAGTAGATTGAGTTGGTGTTTAAATTTATTTATTTTGTAAGGTTTGTACTGACACTGTACTTACATATTTATTATACATAGCTTTCTTGATATTGCTTATGGATTAGAAATATTAGTGAATCTATCTCACTGTTTGAAGACAAACCTCCTAAAGAGAAAATGTATGCTCTGAATACCTGAAGTAGTCCGGAATTTCATGTTTAAAAAGCTTCATTCTCCTTTCTGATTAACTGAAGAGCTATTGACCCAAGTCATACTTGCCACTTAATGTAAATTATTTTTAAAACCTTGCTGTATAAAACTATCATGTAAGTGTAAAGGTTGCTTATTCCTGGTGTGGAGCAAATTACAACTTTTAAAATGAAATGTGTGTTCCTCTAAAGTAAAATCCAAATTTTATCTTTCTATTGATACTAAAATTTGACATTTTTCTTCAAATTATAAAACTCACTAAAAACCCTAAACTTTGCTTTGAGAATTTTTTTTAACCAGTTATGAAAAAGAATAAAACCACCTCAAATCCTTCACATATTCTAGAAACAGAAGTGTTAAAAATATACTGCACAGCTTTCATGTTATTGGCTGTTCTGACTCAGCCTTCACACCAGCAGAACCTCGTCTGCTGGTCAGCAGAATTCAGGCTGTTGCAATTTGATGTCGTTTGCGCAGAGCTACGGGTTTCTTTTTAAATCACATAATCAGTCTATAACAAATGCACAATGCTGTCCATTTTTTAAAATATTCCAGAAATACTTTATCAAGCTTCTATAAATTAATAGGCATTTTTTCCCCTCTGGTTTGGCTTACCATGTATTGAAAACTGAGTTACTGGCCTCACTGGCTAGAGTTGAGTAAAAATGGCAGAGTAATAAAATGAAAAGCAAAACTAGTCTCCCTAGGTTTCCTATTTGGCCTTGACTCTCTTTATCTCCACCCCACCCCAGCCCACAACCTTTAACGTAGTTGATTTGGCTGTAGCACAAAATCCGACACACCATGAGACCGAGCATGGGTTTCAGCCAGTGAGTGAACCGGCCTATCGCCTGTGCTGCAATTCAACTTGGTGTTCATTCCATTTTGAGGTAAAAGCACATACTCTATTGTATTGAGTCTTTGGGATTTTAGGAAGGCACATTGTTCAAAAATGTAAAAGGCCGCCTGGCTGGTGTGGCTCCTTTGGTTGAATGTCATCCTGTGCACCGAAAGGTCACTGGTTTAATTCCAGGTTGTGGGCTCAATCCCCAGTAGGGGGCGTGCAGGAGGTAGCCGATTGTTTCTCTTTCATATGGATGTTTCTCTACCTCTTCCTTCCTCTCTCTCTAAAAATCAATAAAAACATCTTTTTTAAAAAATGTAAAAGGTCTCCTCTACTATTAAAACTAACCAGCACCTACCTGGTGTTTGCCAAAAACATGAAATTTTTATTGATGGCTTATCTGAATTATACAGCTATATTAGTATACCAAGTGAAACTATCCTATTATGTAGAATGCATCTACAATAGCCACACAGACTATACACATTACCACTTCATACTTTCCAGACTACTAAAAATTTCAGTACAAACTTCTATCAGTAAAGCTGATATGGAAAAGAATCCAAATATGCAAGCTGGGTTTATTTGTGGGAGAAATATTTGAAGTTGCTTCACTAAAAACGAATACAGTCACTCTGTTAGGTAGCACCAACTTTAAAGCAAATCTATAGCTGGCAAGAAAGGATTCGAGTAGAAATCCACTATGATCTATGATGCTGGGAGAAATAACATCCTCTGTCACCATCGGGAATTGGTTGCTTTGCAAAAAGTAAAATGATGCAAGGGTGGTAAGGAATTGAGGGTAAATTTGCATAAATCTGTAGGAAGTAACACTTGGGGCAGGAAGAGTCCTCTTGAGGGAATACCTCTTTTCATGCCATCCTTAGTAAGTATCAGTTACTTATAAAGATTCTCCAGATGGGGATAAATATGGGGTCTAGACTTCACAAAAGTGAGTTACAGGTGCCTTGTTTTTCATCAGATTTTGCCTTCATAGAAGCCTCTGAAGACACTGGGGGCTCATTCATGAAAGTGGGCCTCCCCTACTGTAATATATGTACATCCCCCCTCCAACATTTCTGTTGACCTCTCCTTGCTCAATTCTGAAAAGTAGTCGGAGTTTGCATACTGGTCTGGTAAACTTGAGTTAACTCTAAGACAAAGCTGCACAGCTCTGTTCCCAGGCAAATGGAAGAGCAGTTTTCCTGGCTGGTGACTGACCTTGTACGTGGCAGAGAGGCAGCCTGTAGGGAAAGTGCTCGCTCTCCAGTGGCTGCCTCTGACTCCTTTCAGCTGCTTCTGTCACATCAGCAGTGAGGCGAGAAGAGGTGAGTGCCGGGCCCTTCAAAGGCCATCAGAAACTGGAGACCGCCTCTTGCACAAAGTCCGCACTTGGGTCAACATTTCCCCGATACAGTGGCTCACTAACAATTCGTGTGTTCTCTGCCACCTCCATGCATCAGCTTCTTAAAAGCAGCTCTTGATTGATGGCTAGGTATTCTGACAGAGGAATACCTGAAGTGAATATTTCTGAAATACTTGCTGAATCTCCATGATTATCCAACTATTCATATAGGTCTCTTAGATCCAGAATATACTGTGCTCAAGCCTGCCATCAAGCAGGCCTCTGAACCCCCTATGTCAGATGACACAGGTCTCCAAACTTTGAAACAACTCTCTCTGACACTGAACTGGGTAATCTTGAATTTTGTGCATGTGGATGACTTAACTGTTGCAAGGTCATGGGAGACTGAGGCTGTCTGACTCCATTACCCCACTTCACCTTTATGTGCCTAGCAGTGCTAAGACATAGTAGGTGCCCAATGTGTCATTTAAAAAAAAAAAGAATAAGGCTGTAGCTTAGTATAGCCTCAAGGTGTGTCTGTTTGTGTGTGCCTATGTTATTATTAATGACTGCCATTATTCAGTTCTGAAAATGAAACTCAATACAAGGCTATGTAAATAAATGCACAAATATATTTCAGCCTCAAATTCATATAGGATATTCAAAACCTAGATATATAACTTTATGGTCCTGTGAGTCTCTAAATATGTAACAAAAGGGTTAAAAACATAATACAAGTGTGAAATAGTTGAATTTCTATTTTAAAATTTACTTTTCACCTAGTTTCTACTGCCAAAGTGAAATATAAATGTTTGTGTCTATATTTGGGAAATAAATGATTTGTGGCCTGTATTGGTGACTTGTGCTGATATGGAAAGATGCTTTGGTCATCCAAACTATTCCTAATATTCCTGAACTTTGTGCTATGTCTAAAAGGTGGGTTAGGGGCTCCAGTGGCGCAATCGGTTAGCGCGCGGTACTTATAAAAGGTGGGTTAAAAGCAAATATTTATATGTTGAATCATACATTTCTCATCATTAAATAATCAAGCCTAAAAAATCTGATCTTAGAAAAGCTTTTTAAAACCACATACAAGAACATGCTAAGAGATTACATGCACTGTTAAAGCTAGTATTCCCACTCCAGGAATGATAATGCAACTTTCTATTTTCATTACTTCATGACAAAAAAAAGAGCATTAAGCACTAGACCAAAATCATTGGCTTCTATAGCTCTGAAGCAATAACTGATCTACTCAGTTGGACTGCTGTGATTTTTTTTTTTTTAATTCTCATATTACAAGACTAGGAAGCAGAAAAAGCAGCTGTTTTATTCAATTTTTCACAGGAGAAATTTTTATACCTGGTCATTAAACACTTATTTCATAGGCCATTCTTATAATATGGTAACAGCTGTATTATATTGCTTTATAATTATAAGAATAAGGCATTTTACCTATACAGGGACAAAAGAACAAAAAAGCCCTTCCCTGGGTACCCTTTATCCTTAAAACAGAATGGTAAGATGTGGGGCAGTTCTTCCCCTACCACCCTCCAGAGCATGCCAGAAAATGCAAAGAACTCTGAAGACCAGAATCACATTCAAACTTTCTTTGAAAGTAGCCAGAATGAGCACTTGTCCTTTTTTCAAAGGTCAGATGAGGTTCCTTCTTGAAGTGTACCTACCATCCAGCAAGAGCCAATGAACCTGGTGTCCAATTTCAAGCTATTTTTTCTTTTCTCAAAAATTTTCATAGAAACATACTCAAATTTAGAATTTTTTCTCACTTCCAACTATGGTGGTGTAATAGTAATAGATTTATTTAGTTATAAAGAGTAGCTAGCTGAACTGTAAAAAACAATCTCACCGTCTCGTTTATTCTGTGCTCTCTGCCCTCCTTTTAATCTAGCAACTGCATCCCAATAAATTCAGTCCAAAGATTTTTTAAAAAACTAACTTAATATGTATATTAAATTTCAAAAAGGCAACATCATTAAGAAAGAAGTTTCCAAACATTAAGGGAGGAAAAGGCGTTGGATTCTCCTTTCTCAACGAAAAGATGTTTCAGAATTAGGGCAGAATCCTGCACCACGCAGTAACTCTTCCTCCTTGGTGAATTTCCCTGGGAAGTTTCCCTGTACAAAAAGAGAACCATTATCTTAATGTGTGTCTGCACAAATACACAAGTGCACAGGCAAGTCCACTGGCTCTTCATCCTTCTGCTACCGTAGCGATGTCTTCAGATATTTGGTGAAATCCAGAGGCAACTGAGTATCGACTTCATTGCAAAGTCTTTTCGTTAGCTGATTTAAATCTTCATTCAAAAATGAATCCCCTTGTAAAACTTTATCCTGAAGAAATATTGAAAGTATGAGTTAAAAGTTCTTATGCCAACAACAAAAGCCAAGCTGTGAGCAGAGCTAAAAATTGCAACAGCTAACACCAAACCAACCACCTATGAACCGTAATAATGACGGGGCTGGTCCAGGCGTGGACATACCCTACACTGAATGAATGAGACAGTCCCATGACTGTCCCTATAGAATTCCAACCCCAGAGATCCGTCCTACCATCACCAACTACGCATGAAAACAAAAAGATCTACCTATAAACACTTAGGCAAATTGGAATCAGTTATTAGGAGATATATTAGTTTAGTTTTGATTTCATCTTCTAAAAAAATAATGAACAGTACCACGTACCTTCCTTTTGGAGCTTGAAGTTTCCACAGGAGGATTGAATGTCATTGCTGCCATGCTGTAAGCCTCAAAGAGTTCTATAGCAGATCTACAGTCACAAACAGAAACCCACAGTCACAGAGACACCACCACACTGCGTACCTTGAAAACAGTGAATCGTACCCAGAGAATGACTCACTATTCTAAATCCATCCATTAAGATACAACATGAGCCTGCTTTTGAAACCAACAAATCAACACACACAAAATAAATCCTAAATTCCCAGGTGTTGACAACATTATCCAACGAACTCCACCTCCCAGAGGTCTGGTTTACATTTAGAAACACGGGCCTGAACAGAGAAGGCTGAAAGAAGAGCTCAAACTCAATGTGACCAAATCCCAGCTCAACCACAGTTATGTAAACAATATGCAAGGAGTTTCACTCCGTCACAGGAACCAGAAGAGCAAAGCACGGAGTCATCCTCCATGGATTCCGAACAGCTCAACCCTTCAGTTGTTGGCCTGGATTAAAAGCCAGGAGAACCACTCTCCAGAGAGAATAAATGTCTATAACCATGGCATGTAAATGAGTCCTTGATGATTTGGGGTTGGTTCACGCAATGAGGTGATTAGGGTCACACCCCAAGCTCCACATCTGGGGAAAAAACAGCAGGCGTCTCCTTTCTCGCCTTTGGGATGAACCAGTTGCTCATCTTCCTCCAGAAAAGGAAACCTCTGGCATAAATGAAGCAAATGTTCAAGAGCCCTGACCAAAACTTGCCATGGGGGAAAAAAAGGTAATAAAGAACTGTTTTCTCCCTTTTGAAAACAAGGCTGGAAGACAGGTAGAAAGAATGAAGGAAGAAAGTAAATGGTCATTTTTAAATTTTTATGGCCAAAAGTTATCTCTCTCCTACCCAGAAGTAAAAGGATTTATGGAAAACTGCAGAGTTTAGCCTCATTTAGCGGGGTAAGCAGCTAATTACTGCCATGTAAAAACAATATAGCCCCATCTGGCCGAACCTCCCAGAGTGGGAGGTGAATGCCGGGGCCGAGATCCGAGCTTCTTGCAGGTCAGAAGGCCAAGGAGAGAAACTGCTGCCTCCTGGGCGAAGTGTTTCCAAAGCCCTTTCCTCAGTTCTCCCTCCCTGGCCCTCCCAGGACCATTCAAAAGAAAAGGAATCGCATTGTATTGGACTGATGGATCGTCACATAAGCGAATACAGCACTGTCTTACTAACTGTTGAACTGGAGTCATGGGCATATGGGGATTCACTATTCTGTCTACTTATCTGTATGTGTAAAAAAAAAAATGTGATTACCTGAAACAAACAAATAAAATCAGAGTCAGCATGTTTTCTCTCTAGAACAATTCAGGAATATAAGTGAGACCTAATCCAGATAACCAGCTAGAACTTTACATGTTAACTCTATTACGTTATAAAATAGACTTCTCCCAGTGCAGACCTATCAACTGAAATGTATGGTTTAATAATAAGGCGATGCTAGCTACTACCTTCGGCTCAACTCTGGTTTGAGTGCTTCAGAGCCTTCCAAAGGGGCTCCCGCGATCAGGTGAGCTGCCAACCTCCGCACTATGGGATGGAAATGCCGCTAAAGGGGAAACAGGACAACATTTGTACAGGTCAGTGTTTTATAAAACACTAGCTACAGTGAAGATTTTATTTAATAAGCACTAATTTAAAAAACTATAGATGTATATATGTGATTCATAAGGACCACATAACTACAGGAAAAACACTACCTTTGTTCACAGGATTACAACACAAATCTGATGAGCAAGTCACCAGTGACATAGCAGTGTCTCACTTTTACAGTAGGAAAAGGAAAATCAAAAAGCAACTTCTCTTTCACAGGGAAAAAGTTGTATACAACAGGCTTCCTGAACCGTATTTTCTGAGTCTCACTGTAACGCCGGCCACACCGTAGGACCACAACGTAGGTGAAACCCTATCGACACTGGCGGGTGGGCCTGTAATGTCTCCCTGGATGGGAGCCAATACAAATGTGTCTGGGACGGGAAAGATTCCAACAAATTCTACCCCACAAAACTGTCGTTTTCAGCTTTCTTAAAAAATGTATTTCAACATCTTAGAGTAGGAAAAGCAAAGTGAAATGTAGGCTATTAAAACACAAATTCTAGGAAAGGTGGACCCAGAGCAAAATACACTAAGTACTCTGGCAACAACTACTGGGAAAAGCTGAACACAACTGCTCGCACAGTGAGAGGGAGGGGCAGGCTTACCCGCAGAGCGTGCAGCTCCCACAGAGCGGTGTTCTGGGCATTGCAGTACTCGGGCTCGTCCAGCTCAGGAAGGAAAACCCCGCTTCCCTGAGACTCATTGTCAAGCAACAGGTCTGTTTTGGGGAAAGTCTGCAAAAATGTCACATAAGGATTAATTATATTAATGTTATTAGTTTAAAGACAGTTACTGGGTTCTGCACGTTTATTTATACTTAAATTTCATTTGGTTTTATGGCTATAGAAGAGCTATAAGCCCATGAACTTCATACCCAGTTTTAATTTTGTAAATTTAAGCTTTTACCATAAAAGAACAAAAACTGCAAAAGAGTATTTTCTTGGCTTGCTCTGAAAAGAATTTATTTTATCTTGCAAGAGAAAATAGAATATTCTTTTCACCCAGCAATCCCACTTTTAGGAATCTTTCCTAAAGAAATAATTACATTAGATGCACATAACGCTATTCACTATAGCATTATTTGTTAATAGCAAAAACAATCTGTATGCCCATGAAAAGAAAAATACAAAATATAAAAGCCAGACTGCCTGAATTTGAATCCCACCTCTGCCACTTCTTTTTCTTTTTTTAAAATATGTTTTATTGATTTTTTTACAGAGAGGAAGGCAGAGGGATAGAGAGTTAGAAACATCGATGAGAGAGAAGCATCGGCCTCCTGCACGCCTCCTACTCTGGATGTGCCCGCAACCAAGGTACATGCCCTTGACAGGAATCGAACCTGGGACCTTTCAGTCCGCAGGCCAATGCTCTATCCACTGAGCCAAACCGGTTAGGGCCCACCTCTGCCACTTCTTAGTAGCAGCATCACTTTAGGCAAGTCACTCCTCCTCTGGACCTCACTTTTCCCCATCTATAAAATGGGAACAATAATAGTAGCTACTTCACAAAGCTCTCATGAAAATTAAGCAAGTTAAGTTTTGTAACACATTTTCACAGTGGCAGTCACATAGTAAGAACTATAGGTGTTAAACAAACAACCTCATTTACTCATTAAAGAGACAAGGTAGTTATATTTGTACCTACACAAAAATGTGTTCATCACCATTAAGTGTTAAAAAAATATTATAGAACAATATGAATACCATAATCCCCACAACCCCTTTCTATTAAAAAAAAAAATAAGCTATGTTGTTTGTGTGTGTTTGGTGTGTTTATATATGAATTTTTTAAAAAGTCAGCTGAGCCCTGACCGGTTTGGCTCAGTGGATAGAGCGTCGGCCTGTGGACTGAAAGGTCCCAGGTTCGATTCCGGTCAAGGGCATGTACCTTGGTTGCGGGCACATCCACAGTAGGGGGTGTGCAGGAGGCAGCTGATCAATGTTTCTCTCTCATCGATGTTTTTAGCTCTCTATCCCTCTCCCTTCCTCTCTGTAAAAAATCAATAAAATATATTTTAAAAAAAACAAAAAAACCTCCCATTTAAAAAAAAAATAAAGTGAGCTGGGACACCCACCAAATGGTAAAACTTGTAACCTCTGGAGAGTGTCAAGAGGGGCCGAATGCTTTCCTTTTGTAACTTAACGGACTTCCTTTATCATATGATTTTGTTACAGGTGTGAATTACTTTTTTTAATGTTTTTATTGATTTTAGAGAGAGAAGAAGGAAGAGAGAGAGAGAGAAATATCAATGAGAGAGAAACAAACATTGATCTGCTGCCTCCTGTATGGCACGTGCTGGGGATCAAGCCTGCAAGCTGGGCACGTGCCCTGACTCAGAATCGAACTGGTGACCTCCTGGTGCATGGGTCAACACTTAACCACTGAGCCACAGTGCCCGGGAAGGTGTGAATTACTTCTAACTAAATAATAATGTAACGGGGGAGTGGAACGGATGGACACACACACACCAAACAAAACACCATCGTGGCACTGCCAGAACTTAGCTCTCTTCAGTGTATCACCACTCACATGCATTAATATCCTGTTAGTTGCTAAAATGCCAATGCTTGAGTTGGGAAGGACGTGAAGACCAAGGGTGCAGAGGCGCTTGATGAAGGCCAGGGCTCGCTGCTGAGAAACCTGCTTTCTGCGCTTGGTGAGCATGACATCGAGGCACTGGAGCACAATCTCAACCCCTTCATTGGTAGCACCTGAAACAGCAAGACAGACCCTTCATTACTTTTCCATGATCCAAGTTCACCTACCCCAGAGACCCAAGCTCAACTGTCACAGGTCCCACATCACGCCCCAGCCCATGACATAGGGCTGTCCTGCATCTCCAGTCAATTCTCCCCGGTTCTCGCTCTCCCTGTCTTACGTGAGGTTGCATACACGAGTGGCACTGGCAGGCCCGCACTTCATACACCAGTTCCTATTTCTCATTGTTCATTGGCTATTATTCTGGTCACAACGTATTCTTAAAGGAACTATTTATTAAAGACACATTATCTAAACATATGTACCTGCATGTAACTTGAACAGTGTTTTGTAGAGATGTGTATAGAACTTCATTGGATCAATATTCAGAACATCACCTTTTGAAATGACAACAAACACCAATTAGAAATGTTACAGCCTCCAAAGCTAAAGCAAACAAAACTTGATTATGAAGATATCTGACCTTGCCCAGAAAGAATATGAAAAGCGGTCTGGACACAATGAAGACTTTCTTGATAGCTTAGGTCCTTAAAAAAAAAAAAAGATATTAAGAAGAATAATACCATTTATATCTTAAAAAGTAATTCATTAATAGAGATACTTACACCAGACTCAATGAGACTATGTAGAACTACTAATAAATCATCAAAAAACTCCACGTTTATAAGGTGAGCGAACCTAAAAATCAAACAAAACATAGTTAAAAGGAAACCTAAGAACAGAAATAAAGCAGCCACAAATTAAACTTGACTTTAAATTTGTAATTTTAATATTCCTTATTCCAAGTGTTAGCTGATAGAGATGATAGAGAAGACTGTTTACTTCTCATTCATTCAGACTGACCTTTTGACAATCCATAGTTGGACACTATACTCAGCAGGAACATATGAGGCACTAAACAAACTAATACAGTATTTCAAAAATACTTCCGCCCTGGGGAAGAAGTTGCTAAGAGCAAACAGCTTCCCCGAAGAAAGTTTACCGGGCGTCCAGCACTGTTCTAAGCACTAAGAGCGCAAGCAGCATCAGCTTCCAGGAACACGGGTGGTGGGAAGAAGGAAGGAGGAAAGATTCTGCTATTTATCAGAATATGGACCCCATGAAAGCTTTAAGGACAAAGAAGCTGAAGCTGGTGTCTAGTTCAGGCTCTGCAATGAATTACCTTTATGATCCTAAGTTAAGTCACAGGACTGGCCTGGGCCTCTATTTCTAGAAATAACTGAGATCACCCACTAGAGTTAAAGAGAAAGAATCATGGGCGCTACTAAACGTCAGAGGGCTCTACACATTACAAAAGATTAGGCCCTGAACTAGTTCAAGGATGTCTCTTCAGTATTAATGCAAGAGCCCATATAAGCATAACTAATGGACATAAGACACTGGGGGGTAAGGGAGGGCAGGGATTGTCAAGGGCGGGGGGTGGGGGAAGGACACATATGTAATACCCTTTGTAATACTTATTATAATATTTTTTTTAAAAAGAATAAAAAAAAATCTTAAATCAAAAAATAAAAATAAAAAAAAATAAAAAAAAGAATGCTTGACAAAAAAAAAAAAAAAAATTAATGCAAGAGCCTTTGACACCATGTAAATCTTAGAACAGGAAAGGACCTAGAGGTCACACATTCCCCGTCTACTGGAACAATCTTTTTGGGATGCAGTTTGGCAATATTTATCAAAATTTAAAATGGACATACCCTTTGGTCTAACAATTATATAACCCAAGTACATGAGAATCCTTCCAGAGCAGCCAAATAAAAATAAAGCAAGGAAAGGCTGGTGACCAAGAAAAAGAGAACTGAGAAGGACACGAGTCATCATTAGGAAACCCTGACCAAAACTCATGGTTACTTCGTTCTTATTACTTAGAAAGAATCTAAAAGGTTTCAACCTACACAGCCCTTACTTGGCAAGACCTTCTAGAACTGCTGGCAGGAGAGGGGACCTCTGGGCCTTCTTCAGTATTCTGAAGTAAGTTACAAACACAATATTCAATGTCTCCGTGTGCTGGCCAAAGGAACAGACAACATGTCGTCAGTACAACCCAGTACACTTTCTCCTGAATTACTGTAACTATCATCAAAGCTCAACCTTTCTACCCCTTCCCCTCCCTCCCAACAATGCAATCTTAGGAGCTTTCACAAAGTGAAGCTTTAACAGAATGAAGGTACACATCCTGTGATTTCATAAAACCAGCACTGATCACATGATAATTTCTTGTACATCTCATATCTAAGTTTCATGAAATAAACCAAAATTATATAACCAAAAGTTGAAATAATAAGTCCCTAAAGTAGTTTAACAAAACATTTTAAAAAGCACTGGACAGCGATTTTCAACCTTTTTTCATCTCATGGCACATATAAACTACTAGAATTCTGCAGTACACCAAAAAAATATATCTTTTGCCAATCTAACAAAACAAAAAAACACACGTATAATTTTGATTCATTCACACTGGATAGGTACTGTTTTGCAGGCTGTTGTCTTTTTTTTTTTTTACAATCTAAGGCAGCAGTTCTCAACCTGTGGGTCGCGACCCCTTTGCGGTCAAACGACCCTTTCACAGGGGTCGCCTAAGACCATCCTGCGTATCAGATATTTACATTACGATTCATAACAGTAGCAACATTACAGTTATGAAGTAGCAACAAAAATAATTTTATGGTTGGGTCACAACATGAGGAACTGTATTTAAAGGGCCAGAAGGTTGAGAACCACTGAAAGGGAAAACAGGTCAGTGCCCCTGACTAAATAGTCAGGAATTGCATGTTTAAAATTTCTTGCAGCACACCAGTTGAAAGTCGCTGATATAGGGGAACTGCCTACCAGTTTCAGTTTTTTCTCAGTACTCTCTGAAGCTTCCGCCTCCCGAAGCTCTCGCTCTAGTTTCTCTTCTGCTTTTTTCCACTGAAAATAGATTGAAAAATAAAGAGTATGTATTATCCCATAGAGTGAAAACAGCAACCTTCAGAGAGATAAAATACGGAAGTACTGTGAAACATACAATAATACCACAGCTTCTCTATGAATGCAAATATAAGCAAAAGCAGAAAAGCATGGATAAGAAGCATACACCAACCAAACTTATGACAGCGGTGGCCTCCTGGGAGGAAGGCACTAGAAAGAAATAGGGAGACCACAGGGGATTCTAACTCTAACAATGGTTTCTTTCTTTTCAAGAAAAAAACTGAAGTCTTCATATTTGCTCATTCAGAAAGGGGAATACATGGGATATGCTATATTATCCTCTGTAGTTTTCTATAATTTAATTTTTTTCAAAAAAGGAAGAATATGCTGAGCCCAGAAATAATTCTTATTGTTAAATCATCTACAACACAGAAGCAAGTCATCACCAAAATTTCCCAAACTCCTTTATATACAATGCGTAAAGCCAGATACTATATAGAAATTCAACAAAATATCTATCTGTTTCCACTTCCTTCCGCTCTAAGAGCAGCGAACAATGGTTGCTAAGCTGCCTGAGCCATAGGGGACTGCCTGAGAAACAGTTTCCTTCCCTCATGTGAGGCTGATAAAGAGCTGGGCCTTTGTTTCCCCACCATAGTTATGTATCCAACTTCCGTTAGGATAGTATGGTATAAATAATGAAAACATTTACCTTCATTTGTTTAGTGATTAAGTCTAATTTGATATTTCTGTCATGTTTTCAAAATTTGTAGACACATGCAAAAATGGATATCCTGGAAATTATTTTTTATTTTGTTTTTATAAGCAATTTGATAACCCTAATAAACTGTTTAGAAATGTTGGGGAAATGATGACAACAGATGGTGGCAGTGGTAACTCACGTTTATAAAGCATGCCGGGCTATGCACGCTGCCTGCTGCTTTACATACATTATTTTTTTTTTTTTTTACATACATTATCTTATTTCAACTGCACAAAGACTTGGCAAGACAGGTACCATTTCTCAACATTAAAAACAAAAAAATGTGCCCAGGGTCTAATAGTAAATAAACAAAGGTTTCAAATACAATAAAGAAACATGATTCAATGAACAAAAACCCACTTTGTTGCTAACTTCACCAGAAGACATCCTTTCTGTTAAGGAAAGACCCTGGTGTGTCACAAGGAATCTCAGATGAAGGTAAATGCCAGCATGGCAAGAAAATCTTTTTATCTATTGCTCTCCTTCCAGTAATTATCAGTTTAAATGGATTTAATAAAGTATTTCTTTGTAATAACTGGGAAGATTAAATTCTCTAAATAGTTATAATTATGATTTTACTTGTTCTTATACTATAATTTTAATCTAAAATCAAAACAAAAAAAGAAATAAATCAAACCTTTCTCTGCATTCTTGATAGATTTTTTCTCTTTTCCTTAAAAGTCATGAACTTTTTTGGTTTATTAATGTCCTCTGTATCTTTTTTCACTTCTACTTCCTTGATTCTTAGGCACAAGAATGTTTTTAGCATCTAATATTGAAGAAGACACAAATGTAAGTATTAAGTTTATATTGCCTTCAAAAACTTTATACAGAAAAATATGCACTTAACAATGTTATTTCCTCCCTTAGTGCAAAGAAAGAAAGAGAAAAAAACACCTTTGAACTATCTTCTATCACATTTCACATAAACATCTGTTATCTTTTTGCCAAATATATTTGATAACTTGTGTCTATGAAAGCACAACTACTATTTGGCTAAATACAAGTAATATTATTCTGCAGTTTGATGACAACAACGAAGAAAGAGCACATTCCTTGGTATTGGCAGACAGGAGTCAAAGAGTAGACAGGCCAGAAAAAGGTTTGAACCAATATTGGAGGAGGGGATATAAATTAGGTATTACTTTTTATTCTTTTTTTAAAATATATATATATTTTTTTATTGATTTCAGAGAGGAAGGGAGAGGGAGGGAGAGATAGAAACATCAATGATGAGAATCATTGATTGGCTGCCTCCTGCCCGCCCCCTACTGGGGAACGAGCCCACAACCCGGGCATTATGCCCTTGATCGGAATCAAACCTGGGCCCCTTTAGTCCACAGGCTCTATCCACTGAGTCAAACTGGCTAGGGCATAAATTAGGTATTTCTAAACCAGCTTTAATTTCCCATTTACCAAATGGAAAAATGTTGATCATATGATACAAACTTTCAGTTAGAAGATATGTAAGTTCTGGAGATCTAAAGTACAGCATGGTGACTATAGTTAATAATACTGTGTCATATACTTGAAATTTGCTAAGAGAGTAGATCTTCAGTATTTTCACCAAACAGGAAAAAAGGTAACCATGAAAGGTGATGAATGTCTTAATTAACTTGATTGTGGTAATCATTTCACAATGTATACGTATATTAAATCATCACATTGTACACTTTAAAAACCCAAATTAAAGAATGCAGTTTATAATTCTAACATCACTAAAATGAAAGTGTTTCCCTGTGACCAAGTTTCATGTTCAAGCCTTATTATCTGATCACTCTACAATTCTGAATAAAGACACCAAATACGTTCTCTACTTAAGTACAATATTTATAATTTTCGCAGTTCAACTAAAATTATCAGCTTTAATGAAAGGGATCTGATGGCAAAGCAAGGCTGAAATTAGGAACTAGAACAGTAGAAATTGTGAGCTAAGCCACCAAAACTATATGACGAGATTTCATTTGGGGAATTGAGTATTTTCCCTTTCTACTTTACACACTTCTATAAATAAATACCTCATAGCAACTGAAAATTAACTTTGTAATTTAGAAACATAAATACCTCATGGCAACTGAAAATTAACTTCGTAATTTTAAAAAAAAACACGTGTAAAGTAAAATGCGAAAAACTTACCTCTGGCCTAACGTCATAATTTCTGCCCTTCACAAATCCAGAAATCACTTTGATCACTCCAAGGGAAGCTTGGCCTAACTTATCTTGCTTAAAAAGTTTCTTAACTGCCTCGCAGCACATTTCCGATATCTGAAAAACAAAATGTCACACTGAACTGGCGTTTCTCAGCCTCAGCACTCCTGACATTTGGGGCCAGAGAATTCTTTGTTGTGGGGAGCTATCCTGTGCATTGTGGGATATTTAGATGCCTGGCCTTTATCCACGACAAGGCAGTTAACACCCCAACCACCACAGTCCTGACAATCAAAACTGGGGGTCGGCGCAGCCTAATGCCCCCTGGAGGGCAAAACTGTCTCCTGTTCAAAGCCTCTGCACTAAACTTACAGGGATCAAATAGTTTTCTTCAAGAAACAGTGTTTAGTAAAGTGATTCTATTTCAGCTCCAAAAATTTTTTGAGAGAAAAAAAGCCAGATGGTCTATAATTTTCTGTTAAGCCCAACAGCAACAATCGTTTAGAGCAGCCCACCGGTTTTGACAGGTCATTCATGAGAGGGACAACCAGGACGATGATGTTGTTGTGGAAGTTGAAATGAGGCAGTGCCACCAACAGCTCACACAGGCTCTTCACAGCCACCGCTGCCAGTCCTTTGTATGCCTTTAAGGAAACTACGTTACTTTTCTTCAGCTTCCTCTGCTTCCAGTCTAATAAAAAGATAACTCTAATTACTTACTTTACTCATTGGTCAAAACTTCAGCTAATTACCTTTCTTTTACAGTAATATGCGATAAAACTCAACCTACCACGCAAATTCTTAAATATGAGCTGTATCTATCCTTAGACAAGACAAAGGTCATCATCAAAATGTTTCTCCACCATCCACCCTCTGACTCTAATCACAATTACCAGAGTCTTGGCTTTCCATGTTTTTTAAAAGATACATATATCAGCCCAGCTGGTGTGGCTCAATGGCTGAGCATCGACCCATGAACCAGGTCACAGTTCAATACCCAGTCAGGGCTCAGGCAGGGGTTGTGGGCTTCATCCCCAGTAGGGAGCGCGCAGGAGGCAGCCGATCAATGATTCTCTCTCATCATTGATGTTTCCATCTTTCTCTCCCTCTCCCTTCCTCTCTGAAGTCAATAAAAACATATTTTTAAAAAAAAACAACACAATAAATTCCAACCATTTATGAATTAAGACACATACAACTACTTACTAGGTAAAGGACTGCAACAATACTAATAACTGACAAAATACAGTCCTTAATACAGTCTAGGCATAGTTGTAAGCACTTTGTATCTATTAATTCATTTAGTTTTACACAACAATCCTGTGAGTTAAGGACTAGTATTATTCCCACTTGACAGCTAGAAAAGCGGAAGCACAGAAAGATTAAATGATTTGCACATGCCCTGACCAGTTTGGCTCAGTGGATAGAGCGTCGGCCTGCGGACCGAAGGGTCCCGGGTTCGATTCTGGTCAGGGGCATGTGCCTTGGTTTCGGGCACATCCCCACTGGGGGGTGTGCAGGAGGCAGCTGATCGGTGTTCCTCTCTCATCGATGTTTCTAGCTCTCTATCCCTCTCCCTTCCTCGCTGTGAAAAATCAATAAAATATATATTTTTTAAAAAATGATTTGCACATCACATAGGTGTTAAGTGATGAGCCAAGATTTGAAACCAGAAAGTCTGACTCGAGACTCTGCTCCTGACCATACACTATACTGACAGCCAACACACAGCACAGAATAGAGAATTCACCTTCCTGACCAAAGCTAAGTATGTTACATGCTTTCAAGATGTTTAATATACCTTTAACCATTTGCTCCAGATTTTCCAAATAAAATTTATATTGGCTAACAAGCCCTTCTTCAAATTCTCTTAATTTTTGGGTTTCTTTGCGGATCTGAAAAGACCAAAATATCAATCACGTTTTAACATCAACATATTGAAATCCAAAAATTAGCACAAAATGTTGAGTGCCTAGTATACTAGGTCATGTAAAACCAACCAAACAATACAAACAAACAAAAAAAAAAACAACCACCCTGTTTCTCCCATCTCTAGCTCTCCAAACTTTTCAGCTTATTTTCTATAGTACAGTAATTATAGTTAGCATACCTTGGTAGATTTTTCTGCTTCTGTTAGGGGCCGAATTTTATATGAAGGAGTAATGTCTTTAAATAACTCCATCAGAGAAATGACCACCAGCTTTCGAACAGTAACAGCCACATCAGGATCCTGTTCCATCAGCATGGAACGTAATTCTTTCAGTTTTTTAACCTGTTAAAAGAAATTACTCATCAGGCTAGAGAAATAATAACAGAACAATCGTGAGCAAAAGCAACAGTTCCACATCTGGCCCAGTAACTAGAATTCACACAATGACTCCAAGAGTCTAGTCAAGCTATAAACAACTCAACACTGCCACTACTGACAGATAAGTCACTGAAGTTACAAAGTAACCATGTTTTTGTAAAATACAGACTTAAAAAATAGTTTAAATTTGTTAATTTACCTGTTTTAAGAAAATCTTTTTAATTGGATTTTCTTAATGCAAGTGTGTCTTATTTCACTAAAAATACTTTTTGAAATATTGTTATATATACACCAATCATATGTTGTGTAATCACACATATACAAGTTAACCAGGAATTAGTACAATGCATCCACAGGTAATTAAGCTTCAGAGTTATTCATGTAACGATATTTGTATGATGCAACGCAGAAGTAAAAAATTGGTTTCAACTAATGTGCCCATTGCTTTGATGAAATACTATTGCCTGCTGGAGTGGTATCTCGAGAAGCAACACTGGCTGATTAACAATGCTTGCCATAGCAGGGAGCAGGACAAGTATGTCACCTCCATTTGCTCGCCCTAACTTTTATGAAAAGAGCATGAGGCTCCAGAGTTAGAAGACCTGGGTGCCAATCCAGTGGCTGTTAAAATCTGAAAGAAATCACTTGAGGTTTTAAAAGCTCTATTTTTCAGCTGTAAGATGAGATCAATAGCTCTTGTCTCCATGGTTTGACAATAATTAAATGAGATGATACAGATCAGAAATATCCCAAATCCCCCTCCCTGGTTCTGCTCTCCTGGCTTTGTTAGAAAAGGACCATTACTACTCCAAAGCATCCCCACAGGAATTTTTTTCTATAAATGTAAATAACCTACTTTATTGTCCAATAAACAAGTATTTGTCATAGGAGGATGCTGGGGACACCAATATAACGAAAATAATAGTATCACTTTATATAACTTCATGTCTATCATATCATTCAATCATCACAACAATGTTTTAATATAGGTACGATCCCCCTTTTAGAGATGAAGAAAATGAATCTTGGCAAAAAAACTTACCCAAATTCTAACACACCGTACTTACAAGAGCCAAGACTACACCTTGGATTTCTTGAGTTAACAAGTTATAACTATCATCACCTTCACTACTGTTCTCATGGCCAATGATAATTCATTGTAACTTTCTGATCCATTTCACTTAAATATTTTATACTTATAAGTATTCCTAAACTACTCTTGTCTTTTGTGTGCGTGTTTCTTACTATAAACTCTAAAAGTCAGTCAAGCAAATTTGCAAGTAGTTTCCTCCTCCCTAGTATAATTAATTTGTATAGACTTACCACTATGAGTTACAACATTAAATCCAATATCTTCATTTAGAGACTCAGAGCATTTATGAAACTTTAGTGAGATTACAGAAGAAATGAAGCTCAGATGTAGAATTAGGCTAAGGTTCTGTCTGCTCTCTCATTCTAACTCAGTTACTACGTTTTGCTAATGCTTTTCCTTTTTGTGTGTACTTTAGGTAACAAGAGAATCTTAAAATATTAGACATTTAGACCATATCTGATGTGAAGAACCTAAGGAAATTAAAAGTGCTTACATTATTTTCTGGGTCTGATAATATGGCAGATGCCAAGGCTGCAATATGCAGTTTCTTCTCCTGTAGCTTCTTCTTTCTCTCAATTAAATGCTCTTCTATGGTCAGCTCGCGAATAGGATCTTCAATAATCTCTGAAACAGATTAGGTTTTCCCTCTTAAACGTTCCTTTATTTACAAGTGTCCAGGAACCTTATTTCATATTCTCTCAACAATCATAAGGCATGTACTATCAATAGCCCCATTCTATAGATCAGGAAACTGAGGCAAAAGAAAAGTAACTGGCCTATCCTCATAAACCTAGCAGAAATGGGATTCAAATCCAGGCAGTCTGACTCTAGAGCTCATATTATTAATGGCCATGCTAATAAACCCACAAGAATTCATATTAATTAAGGGGAAGGACAATCTGATTCAGTTGTTTTAAAAAGTACAGAATATTCTTTGTTTTCAACTCTATTCAGTCCTTTGAACTACACAAAATATGTTCACATTAAGAAATTCATAGGGAACTAGGATTTAATAAACACACAAGTATAATCGGCAACAAGCCTATGAAGGATGACTGAAAACCCTAAAATAGTTGACCTATAATGTCATTTCACTATCAGTGAGGTTTGCGAAGCAGAAGTAAAATTTAACCAGCTTGTTCTGTCATGAATTTCAAAGCAATATAGTTTCAAACAATAAAATATGTTCTTTCCATTTAACTTTAGATAGAAGTACGCTAGCTTTTAGAAACCCACATTTAATCAAACCAAAATGATTTCATACCACAGAATCATTTTTGTAATTTAAAGCTAAATAGTTAATAGTTATTTATAGGCAGGTCCTTCACTTACAACTAAAAAGAATTCAAAACAGTTCAATTAACAAAACTCTTCATGCATGCCTACACATTACAAATATTAATTGCATAAATTTTTGCATAATAAAAAGCAACAATCAAATTCCACCAGATAAAACTTTAAAAATGTGAAAAAATGTTTACAATGACCTTGAAATAATCAGTACTTCAAAATGCACATTCCAGATTTTACCTAAAATTGTCTCACTTTTATTATGCAAAAAATGTAATTCTCAATTAACAATTTAGCAGCTATAAAGATGTATCCCATTACCTTCCTCAAGTTCCATCTCTTCTTGATCCTCTTCATCTTGGTTAGTGTCAAGAACTATGGAAAATATGTATATTAAAAATGTGATAATATACTTAAGTGGTGAAACTATCAAGAAAAGCATAGAAGTGATTAAAACAAAACTCAGGAAAGTAGTTATTTTTGTGAGGAGGGAGCAATCAGTGATTGAGGGGAGCACAAGGGAAGTTTCTAAGTGCTGGCAGTATTCGTTTCTTGCCCAGATGGTAGCTTTATGGGTGTGTTTTTTGTGATAAACCACGTAACTTCACATCTTTGATTTCTGGATTTTTCTGTGTGTTGTATTTCACAAGAAAAAAGATTCATATAAGAAAAAAAGGCTAATAAAGGAGGACTAATATGCTCTACTTTTAGAAACAAGAGAATTTGCTAAAATACTCTAAAATCACCTTAACCTTATAGCTTCAGTTATACTCACAGTACAATAGACACCTAAGATAATCAACTGTATTTCTGGCCAAAATCATCAGCTTGCTATATGACTAACTGTAGCTACTTCTATTTTGTAGATATAGGTAAAAGTCAAAATTAAATTAAATTTTTATGGAAAGAAATGTGATATTTTTAAGGAGCTAAAATTGTAACTGACTTACCTGGCTTTTCCCTGGTCTGTGGGATTATACCACTTTTATCTTTGATAGGAAGCAAGTGAATCAATTCCTTCTCTGGTGCAGTTTGCAGAGATCGTGGTATTTTTTCATATTTATCTATAATGTTCTCATGCTTTCGTTTCTTGGCGTGAACAGGTTCACTGTAGAAAAAAATTTAATTTTCAGTTTTAATATTTTAAAAAGGAACCTAGAGACCTACCATTTTTAAAACACAGAAAAATTAACCACTAGTCAAACCTTCACTAGGTATATAAATATTAGCACCTAAACCAAGCACTTAAATAGTAAATGAATAAATTAATTTTACAGTCTATCACAAAGACTCAAACTATGGCTATATCTAGTTTTCCCTTTAGATGCAAAATTAAGATGAAAGCTGCAGCAGATTCTTTTTGAAGAATATGCCACAGAGCTAACAGGGACATCATGCTATACTGCGTTCCCCAAAACTTTTAGAGCATAGCACAGACTTAGGAGTTAAAAAGATCTAAGTTTAAATTTCAGATCTACGAGTTGCGGGGAAGCATCAGTTTCCTCTCTGTAAATGGGAATAATACCCACTCACAGAGTAAGGAGGATTGAGATCACAGCCATAAAGAACTCGGGAATGTTCTGCCAATTCCTCAAACAAAGAATAGCATTCTTCCCCATTCACTATTCAGACTCAGACGAAATAAAGATGTACACTAAATAAAATCAGCTTGTTTTATTCATGAACGTCCTTTATTTAGGAAATAATCTGAATAATAAATAGGGTTTACTCTTTGTAAACATTGTGTTCAGAGCTGAAGTTCTGCACTAACCACCTAAGTAAAATTCAGAACCAAGTTGTTAACGCTGAAAGGATGTGAATGATTATTATCTAAATGAAGTTATTACCTAGAAGAAAGATCTCTCGTTAGAAAAGATGCTCTTTGTCCTAAATCCTTCATTAACTGTAAGTCATCTTCATCCATCATATCTAAAGGTAGGGCTTCCTCTTCTTCCTCCTCTTCCCTCTCAATCCTTTTACCTGTTACACACAAAATCAGAAATATGTATTAGAGATGAAGAAATTCTCCATTTTTGTGTCTACAGCAGGAAAAACGTATGCTTTTCTAATACCTTAGCCCAGTATTTCTAAATGGGAGCACTAGTCACGTGATGGGTAGGACAATTCTTTGTTATATACAAGGGTATCATAGGCTAAGCAAAATGTTAGCATCTTTGACCCCTGAAACCTAAATGCCAGGATCATTCCCAGGTCACTCTAAGAATAAAAAACAAATGTCTCCACACTTTCTACAATGTCTTCTAGCACATTTGAGAACCAGTGACTTAGCCCCTTAGCTTCATCTGATCGCCAATGACTTTCACTTCCATTCCACTTCAGCTGCCCCCTCCAAAGGCCACGTCCCTAATCCAAGTCCTCACCCCCCTCTCTGACCACAACCTTTTGTTCTTCCAGTCTCATTCAGTTACTTCCACTGCACCTCTTTTGGCCAAATACAATTATTAACACATCATGCTTTTTATTTTATATATATATATATATATATATATATATATATATATATATATATATATATATATATTTATTGATTTCAGAGAGGAAGGGAGAGGGAGAGAGAGATAAAAACATTAATGATGAGAGAGAATCATAGATCGGCTGCCTCCTGCATGCCCCACACTGGGGATCAAGCCCGCAACCCAGGCATATGCCCTGACTGGGAATTGAACTGTGACCTCCTGGTTCATAGGTCAATGCTCAACCACTGAGCCACACCGGCCGGGCCCACATCACGCTTTTTAAATTCTACAGAAATTTAGATGGAAGAGATATTTAGAAGTATCTAACTCAACCATCACATGTTTTTACAGATTAAATACCTGGAGATTAAATACCTGGCTAATTTAGGGTCACATTGCTATTAAGTAACAAAATCAAGAGAAAAAGCCCGAGTTTCCTGGCTTCCATGCCCATGACCTTTTACATATCATAATAATATGTTGCCAAAAGATCAAACTAAATAGGTCAGGATTCAGAGAATGAGAAGCACATGGGAAGACTGAATATTCCGGTATAGTCAAATATAACTACTCTGAAAGTATCAGTAACATTGTAGAAGAACTGGTCTGACTCAAAATGGTCATATTCCCTACCTGTTTTGAGTACTTGGAGTTCTTGGACAGTTTTACAAAAATAACCCCGACATTTACAGAGCAATTTTACTCCAAGTTTCCGAATGAAAAGAAAGCCAGGCGTTCAGAATACGAAATGAATTTCAGCAACACTGAAAAACACACCAGAGAAAAGCAGTGTTCTTACCTTAGCTAACTGCCAGTGGATGGGAACGTGGCATGGCATGCTGCCTGGCATTCACTAGTATTTATTTACAGGGCCCTTCTGAGTTTGTGATCCCAGGTATTGTATCCTCAGATCTGCTTTCTAGACATACCACAAGCAGAGGCTAGTCTCGCTCTTTCTCACAATGAGTACTATATTGACATGTTTTCCTATACTGACTATAAAATTAGAAAGCATATAGGACTACTGTCCTTACCTACTCTTAAGAAGGATGTGTGACCAAGAGTGATTAATAGAATGCAATTACTGGAACATTTTAGAAAAGCACTTTAGAACAAATCAATGGAAATGAGAGCACATGAATGCTTTCACAATTACCTGGCCGTTTTTTCTTCGGGTCCTCCAGTGGAATGGGTTTCTTAGACACAGCATCTTTTACAGCTTGCCTTAGTTTCCGCTGTTCTTTTCGGTACTTCTTGAGATTGCTTTGTGTTTAAAATTGCTTGTTTTTTTAGCTTGTTTTCAAGTTTGACTTTACTAGTTTTAGCAACTTCCTAAAAGCTTGGGACCTGTTTTTTATTTCTTCTCTGGAAAACAATAACAGGAGGAATGCTGCATAACCAATAATTTATTATTATTTTAAAAATCAGATGAAAGCGAATTTATTATAAATTTCATTAGACCAATTCCACAATTATAATGTCTCACAGCCAAGATCTTGCATATAAGAGCTAAAACCAAACTAAGGCATTTATCCCACAGAATGGCACTTGAGCCTCAGTTATTCAACCATGGGTCTTATTGTGACCAGAATCCGCAGCTGCTCAAAGGGTCTAAGACCCCCCAAAAAGGTTAAGAACCATGATGTAATTGCAAATTATTCAAGGCTATCTTAATTACGTTAGCATACTCAGCAAAATGCTGGCTGTCTTTAACAATAACTGACATTTACATATTACTTTACTGTTTACACTGTTCTCCAACATTCTACCTCCAACAGCCTAGTTAAGCAATGATTGCCATTATCCTGACATTACTGCTGAAGCTATGGCTTAAGGATTATGCGACGTGTCAAAGACCCTTAAACTAAGAAAGGCAATACTGAATTCCGGTCTTTGGATTCCAACTCTCTTGATGGTGACCCCTTATTCAGAAATCCAAACCCTAGGGCTAATTTTCTGCAAGAACCGGAGCAGAGCACTTGCTTTCCTATCTTCTTACCCTTTGGAGGGAAGGACTCGTATCGAATCCTATGACTCACACTATAACTCCACTGAGAACAGGACCCTGCTTCTCCTCTGTAAAATAAGGGGTTCGAAACACAGTCTTGAAGGAACCCTTCAATGTCTGACATCCTAGGGATGCAAGACTCGGTGCTCGTCTCATCGTGGCTACCGAAGCCGAGCGTGATCACAATGGGCCATGAAGGAAAACGCAGGTGTAAGGACCGGGATGCGGACGATGCCCTGCACCAAGAGGGAGCCCCGAATCTAGGCCACCGCCCCCTAAACAAGAGCGAAAACCGCCAGGAAAGCTACACCAGGCAGCGACTCTCAGCCAAAGGGACCCCTAAACCGCGGGGACCGGGCTTCTGAGGACCCTTACCGCCTTCATCCTTAAAGCTGAAAGGCGTTCCGGCGCCACAAACTCTCCAGGGGTAGGGATGATCCAGAAATCCTGACGGGGAGACACACGTGTCGCCGCCGCGACACTGCAGAACGGAAGCTGCTGCTGGCCCCGCCCCTTCTCCGCCGGAAGTGGGGGGCGGGACTTCCGTGGACCGGCTAGGGCGGACGCCCCCTCGCGGGGACAGTCTCACGGTCCCGGCCTGACGTTGCCGAAGTGTCCCGGGGCGGATAATCGACTGGCTCTGTGAATCTAGGGGTCACCATCAAGAGCCCTATAGCCACCTGGACTCTTTCCGGATTTCCTTAAAAGTGGGAAGTTGGGCTCCTCATCTGAGAACGAAAGGACTCGATGTGTCAATCACCTCTCTGCATTTTGTGCCTCTCCTCACGTAGGTACCTCATTGTTGTGTTAGACTGGTTTTTTTGTGGGTTGTTTTTTTTTTTGGTAGTCTTCTTCCGTTAAGTCTTGAGGGCCGAGAAAAACTTACTCTTTCTGTGTAATGCCGGCGCTTTCCTGACCCTCGGCCAGCTCTCCGGGGGTGTTTGTGCAATGCCGAATTTCCCAGGACCTTCCGGCGCTCAATGGTTGGTGATTCTTGAATTTTTTTTTTTTAAACACTTTTGGCTTCATAACTATTGCCTGACAGGTTACCTCTGTGAGATTCATG